ACATTTGGGGCAGTGGTAAAGAGAGTCAGAAAGAATAATAGGCTTTATAACAACAGTTTGCAAACAGGTTTCAGTCCGAATCACTAATAAAAAAGGCTTGCAATTTTAAAGGATTGACAAGTTTATGATCGTAAATGAGAATATTTAATCATTTTGTACTTCTGAACTACGATTCCAACAATTCTTGGTATTTCTATGCAATTCTGGGCAATTCTCCACAGTTTTTCCATACCACAGTAGAATTACCGACGACAAAAATGGATTCATTTTGATCAAACTTCATCATATTTCATTGTATGTTTAGCTTTTATAAACTGATATATCTCTGAGTTATGTTCATGTAATTACATGTTGAAAATTCAGTATTAGTGCAGTGTCGGATAGCTGATTACTATCAGTTATTATAAGGTTGTAATCAGATATGTGTAATTGTGATTTTAACATGTGGTCGACTAGAACTTGTCGTCAAATTTTTATTTAAAGGATATTAATGAGAAAAATATGTACCAATGAGAAGTTGGGCTAAATTCCTGTCTTTAGCCACACGTACTTTTGACAGTGGCGGCCATATTGGACTATCCACTTCTTGTATATATTTTATAATGAATTTTTATCATATTTTGTATTCTTGTTATTTACTCTTTCAGAAATAATGCCAAATATTTTATCATGATATTTAAGCAACGCGAGAAGCTTTCTATATGAAATTTAGAAAAGATGAGTTTCTGCTTAAAATTTTTCTATTGCAGTCATTTCGTCATAATAATTCTTTTTTGTCCCAAGAGTAAAACATATGATCCAAAATCAATGGGAGAGTAGCAGTTTGAAAAAACTGCTAATCTCGCATTAAATAAAACCAATATAAAAACTGAAAAGTAGATAGCACAATATGGCTGCCACCTGGCTTCAAGTCCAGCACTCAGTTGTGTTATCCAGGTTTATACATATCTGTGTTACACACCAATACCCCCAATATGCACCTTTGTGATATTTTGATCCGATAGAGTCTTTAACACAATTTGCCTCAAATCAATTGTTTCTTATGATATATGCTTCACATAAGCAAATTTTAATTTAATGCAACACAATTTTTTCCTTTTGTTATGGTAATGACGTCATTAATGATCTGGATTTATGATTGGTTGGAAGTACAATAAAGTACATTACTCTTTAGCATTGATTAGTCTCTTAGTTGTATCCTTGCTCCAATCAGAAAACCATTTATATTCGAGTTAATATAACTGCATTTCAGACGACACCATTTCTTTGTTCTAGCTGTCTACCGCCTCTGTAATATAAGTTTAGTTCAACTTGCCTGTTTATTTCACATCAAAACGTTATCCGTCTAGATTACGGGAAGCCTAAATGGCAGAAATATTAAGGATAGCTTTCACAATGAGCTTGGAAATATTTGTCGACGATGTTCCTTTGTCATTAACGGAAGGCGCAACCAATATCGACATCGGCCGCTCTTTACTACTCTGCGATACGATACTTGATAAGTTAAACGATATCCAGGAGAAAATTGATCGCCATTCAAGAAGCGAACTGCTACCTTGTCTAAGTCATATGAAACACGGGATGAAAATGCTTCTACATGTAGTAGAAAAACATGAGGCGATGCAATTGAAAATGCGAACAAAAATGCAAAGACAAATGCAGAGACACATGTTAGATAAATATCAGAAAAAACGTAAAAAAAGGGTTTTTTCTAAGGACTTGCCTCTTTCGTGTTACATAGAAGAATTAATTGACCTAGTGATTGATTTAAAAGACACTTCGATAAGGTAAGATCATTTCGTTGTTAAAGCATTACGGGGGGCTGTGCACTGATCTGAAAATATACTGGGTAACGCACGCCGCTATTTCTGTGAAGCCAGAAACGCCATATTGTAAGGTCCCACTTAAATACGAAAAAATAATCATAATATTAATCAAAATCATATTTCCACAAAATCAGCTGGGTTTATACATGGTTTTAAGTTCCAAAAAATAAAAGAAATACGCCGTCATTAAAGCACTGTCTGTTTGTTATCGTTCCCTGAGTTGCACCTAGTAATTTGGTGATTACTTGACAGACTTACTCCAACTGCCTGAGATTAAAGAAATGTTTCAATTGGAAACGTTTCCATTTGCTGACTTTTTTAGAAGCAAGCTTTTATCACGCTTGTAACATTGAAGGCCGAGACACACTATCGCTGTCGCTTGGTCGTTACCACTCAGCGACATGTTTGCCATATATTCATCGTAACACGGTTTTAATATGCACATGAAAAACATGTGACTTGAGCTCCCACCTTCGGGATACTAGTCCGCCGCTCGACCTGTTGAGCTACCAAGCCCACAGGGATTGTACACGAGTCAAATCTCTTTTAAACTGCGTATGGACAAGAGATTCTCGCCACTATAGCAAATACATGTTATATTACATGTATGCCAGGTTACCAAGCCTTGTCGCTGTGTCGTTTCAACACCGCCAGCGAATTCGCTGGAGCACATGGAATCGCTGCGTCGCTGAGACAAAATGCAGAATGACGTCTTGCGAAGAAGCTTGAATAAATAATTTTTTTATGTATCCTGTCCTTTGACAAGACTTTAAACGATTATAAGAATGAAAAAGTCAAAGCAAATGTATGGGATCATACATATGTATTGATATCACGGAACTACCAGCGTCTATTGCAGCTCCTACGTTGTCGTCTTTTCTTCCACTTATTCGTTTAAAATTATGGCTAACAAAGTAGCGCGTAATGCCTCGTTAGTCGCCATGTTTGAGAGAAACCGCGAAAATCATATTTTCCGCAATAAATGCCATCAAAATTTAATCACTTCGCTTGTATCGCTAGCGACAGTGTATCATTTTTACATCGCTATGTCGTTATGTCGCTGAGTGGTAACGACCAAGCGACAGCGATAGTGTGTCTTTACATCATTTTTACATCGCTATGTCGTTATGTCGCTGAGTGGTAACGACCTAGCGACAGCGATAGTGTGTCTTTACATCATTTTTACATCGCTATGTCGTTATGTCGCTGAGTGGTAACGACCTAGTGACAGCGATAGTGTGTCTTTACATCATTTTTACATCGCTATGTCGTTATGTCGCTGAGTGGTAACGACCTAGCGACAGCGATAGTGTCTTTACATCATTTTTACATCGCTATGTCGTTATGTCGCTGAGTGGTAACGACCTAGTGACAGCGATAGTGTGTCTTTACATCATTTTTACATCGCTATGTCGTTATGTCGCTGAGTGGTAACGACCTAGTGACAGCGATAGTGTGTCTTTACATCATTTTTACATCGCTATGTCGTTATGTCGCTGAGTGGTAACGACCTAGCGACAGCGATAGTGTGTCTCGGCCTTAGTGCTCAACTCAACCTTAATATTCATTCTTTTTTTAACTTCTATTCCACTGTTTGTTTGTGTAATAGAACGTGATCTAATTCATCTGCAGTTTAACGCTCTTAGCGACCAATTTGGAAGTTGTACAGTTGCTACCTGAAAACGCAGAATGTACAATATTAAGAACCATTTAGTCCACACCGTCCAACAGCATGCATCAGCCAGGAAATTTTTGATTTCTCGAACCTGCAAAACTATTTACAAAATTTTGAGGACACATCAAAACAAGAAATTACATAAATGATAAATTAAAAAAAACCCATTGAAAATAACCAATAAAAGGTCTTTTTACGAAGTTTAAAACCGCTAATGTAACTGGCTTCCAAATCTCTGACATAAGCTTGCCCAAAAAATTGCCTATTCCACATTTTGGGAGGCGGTTTCCCTTGCACCAAGTTTTGAGTTTCCGTCTTTGCAAAACATCGGTGTAGAAAGTCACCTTCGTCATTTATTTACAATTTTCACAAAGTGAAACTAAAGAACACATTGGCACAAAAATATTCATTGGTCACAAACAATTTGTAGTTTTTTACGTCTTTACTCCATGTGAATGTGACGTAAGCGGAGGCAAGCACAAGTCGTATCAGCACTTGCAACCATGGACGATGACTTGGACGTGGCCATATTAGAAATAGATACTGACAGTGGTGAAATATTTGATCACTATAGAAACGTCAGCAATTTTTTGACTTTAGATAAGACAGATAAAAAGTCACGTGTTGCAATAACATTCAACAATTTCAAGGAACGAATCACCATATCGTGCATTGATGGCGAATCTTTTCTATACACACATGTTTTAGATTGTCTTGAAAAACGAAAGCGTCCTTTCCGCCTAGCTCATGTCAGTGGTTTTGATCACAAAAACATCGATTAACATTTACTTAAAGCCGAGTTCCCACATAGTCGTCCGAGTCGTTTCAGTCTTGCCAAAATTTCACAGACGACCCGTGCGACTGTATGAGAACATTTCAGAGGCGACTGGGATGACCTCAAATGGCTCACACGACTGAAACGACCAGGGTCGCTTGGATAGAACTTTACTCTATCCGGAAGACCGAAACGACCGTTGAGAAATGCAAGCGACCTCTTTATGGCGCATAACGATTTTAAGAATCAAATAACTAACCAAAAAACGTATAAACTGATAAACAGCAGTTGCCATTTTTAAATGTTTCGCGCGAAAATTTCTTAAGCAGTCTCTCGGCAGGGCTTGTACGAATACATGAGAAGTATATAGCTTGAGTCAACCCAGTCGTTTTGAAAAACAACGAAACTACTCGGAACGACTCGGAAGACTCAAGCGGCATAATGAGAACGAGGCTTAACGGTCACTGATGGCTTAATCCAAACACGCGGGAATGAAGCGCGAGTTAAGAAGTGTGCACGACGTATAAATACGGTGAAGTAAAATCCTCAACCCTTTATTGTTCACAGTTGTCATAAGGAAATAATTACGAAACAGTATCAACAGATGAAAAAATTCATCCTGTTATAGGTGCTCTAAGCAATATTGCATGGAGCAATTTACGCCATTTCACTACATGTAAGCAAGTATAATAAAATCATCATTCCTACACGTCGAAAGAACTTATTACTCGGATTTCTATACCTTTAATAGATTTTTCTTACACTTTTCAACTCTTTCTTACCACTGTCCAAATAATAAAATACAAATAAATAACAATAAATTATAAACAAAAAAAATCTTCCTACTTTAATTTCGCTCTAGCTTTATGAGTTAGAGGTCGCGAACTTGCTGGTCTTACTCCACGCGGCTTTTCTGGTTGTTCAAGAAGTTCTTTGGAAGCCGAAATGACAGGACTATCGGGAACTATTTGAAGATTACAATGTGATTCCGCGTTGCATGGTAAATCACATGTTTTTGAAGGCGATCTAAATAGATAAAAGTAAACTAAAATCACACGATATTGTGTCATAAGTGACAAACCAAAAGCAAAAAATCAAAAACTCCCCCTTATCACTCTGTCACCATATTTTTTGCTTGCACACCATTTGCCCCATAAGGACTAAAACGATTGACTCTGATTAAACCATATATATGTATAATAAACTAGACACCTCATTGCAATATAACGCCCAATCAAAAGTTGAAGCCAAAGTAATTGGTGCCTGTTGTTATCACCCGATTACTAGGTCCCACTTGAGGAGTAAAAACTAATTTTAATATACGACAGAGCTTTAGTGGAACTGGCAAGTGCAACTACAATGGCCTGATGCTACTATCTCTGTGCGCACAGCACGAGCTAACCATTACTAACACTCTCTTTCAACAAGCTGACAAGCTGAAGAACACATGGATGCACCCTCGCTCCAAACAGTGGCACATGCTGGACTACGTAATCGTCCGCCAGAGGGACCGCAGAGATGTGCACATCACACGCTGCATGCGTGGTGCTGACTGTTGGTCTGATCACCGCCTGCTACGGAGCAAGATGAACATCCAGCTCGCCAGAAAGAACAAATCAGCAAGAGAGAAGCCACTGAAGAAGTTGAATGTAACTCGCATTCCACCCAACAAAGAAGAGCTGCAAGAGAAGCTAGAGGTAGCCCTGGGAAACATTAACATCACGGGCGAGGATATAGAGGAAGACTGGAGCACTTTCAAAGAAGCCGTCTACAACTCTGCAGCGAGTGTCATTGGATACGTTGAGCGAAAACATCGAGACTGGTTTGACGAGAATGACGCTGAGATCAACGGGCTTATTGACAGGCTCCATAAGGCTCACAGCGACCTTATAGGGGACAAAGCTTGCGAGAAGAAGAAGCAAGACTACCAACAAGTGAGGCAGCATGTGCAACACAAGCTGCGGGAAATGAAGAACGCCTGGTGGGAAAAGAAAGCCGAAGAAATCCAAGTGGCAGCTGATGCTCACGACTCAAAAAAGCTCCACGATGGGCTTCGCGCGGTGTACAGTCCAAAATCGTCAGGCTCTACCCCCATCAGGTCTGCAGACCGAACGACACTGCTAACAGACAAAGCTGACATACTTTCACGCTGGGCTGAACACTTTAACAAGCTGCTGAATAGAGAGTCACAGATGAACGAAGAAGCCATTGAGTCCCTCCCCCAGCTGCCAATCAAAGAGGAAATTGCCGACCCACCCACCAGAGACGAGGTTGCGAAAGCCCTCAAGCAGACAGGGTCTGGAAAGGCTCCTGGGGCTGATGGCATTCCAGCTGACGTCTACAAGAACGGAGGCCAGGCACTCCTGGACAAACTGACATCCCTGTACCAGGAGGTTTGGAAAGTTGTCAAGGTCCCCCAGGACTTCAAAGATGCTGCCGTTGTGCACATCTATAAGAGGAAAGGTGATAAGACCTTATGTGACAACCATCGAGGCATATCTCTCCTCTGCATCGCAGGCAAGATTTTGGCTCGAGTAGTCTTAAACAGGCTAATCACAAATGTTGCCGAGGCCATCGTCCCTGAATCTCAGTGTGGTTTCCGGGCAGGCAGGGGAACTACTGACATGGTTTTCGCTATTCGCCAGTTGCAGGAAAAGTGCCGTGAGCAAAACAAGGAACTCCACATGGTCTTCGTAGACCTAACTAAGGCATTCGATACCGTTAATCGGGAAGGCCTTTGGAAAATCCTGGGAAAATTTGGGTGTCCAAAGAAGCTAGTCTCTCTGATAGCTTCCTTTCACGATGGCATGCAGGCAAGAGTCCAGGATAGTGGGGAGACATCGGACTCATTTCCTGTGAAGAACGGTGTGAAGCAAGGTTGTGTTCTTGCACCTACTCTCTTCTCCATCCTGCTCGCAGCGATGCTGCTCGACGCCTTCCGTGACTTCGACAAAGGGGTGTACATTCAGTTCCGTACTGATGGAAAGCTCTTCAACCTCAGAAGACTTCATGCCAAGACCAAAGTCTACGAGGCACTCCTGCGTGAATTTCTCTTCGCAGATGACTGTGCACTAGCCGCCCACTCCCATGAAGACATCCAGTGCATAAATGACCGCTTCGCAACTGCATGTGATCGCTTTGGGCTGACCATCAGCCTGGGCAAGACTGAGACCCTGGTCCAGCTTCCACCATCCCAGACTCGTGACACCTCACCACCACCTCCTGTCGTCATTAACCACACCAACATCAAGACTGTTGACAAGTTCTGCTACCTTGGCAGCACCATCAGCAACAATGGTTCCCTGGACGCAGAGGTAATGCTGCGTATTGCAAAGGCCAGTGCTGCTTTCGGCAGACTAAAGAGAAGACTCTGGCAGGAACACGGCATCAAGATCGTCACCAAAATTGCTGTGTACAGGGCTGTGGTCCTGAGTGTTCTGCTGTACTGCTGTGAAACCTGGACCACTTATCGCAGGCACATACAACAGCTGGAGCAGTTCCACCAGCGCTGCCTGAGAAAAATCCTCCGAATCAAGTGGCAGGACAAAGTGTCCAACCTTGTAGTCCTTGAAAGGTGTGGACTCTCCAGCATTGAGAGCTTGATCATCAAAGCTCAACTCCGATGGACAGGCCATGTCGTAAGGATGGATGACAGCAGAATCCCAAAGATGGTGCTGTATGGTCAACTACAAGACGGGAGCCGTGTACAAGGAAGACCGCTGAAGAGATACAAAGACACCCTTAAAGCCAACATCAAGAGCTGCAATATAGACCCAAACACCTGGGAGGAGTTCGCGGGAGACAGACTGCAGTGGAGGCATTTATGCTCCCAGGGCGTTCGGAATTTCGAAGCCGGTAGAGCAGCCGCCATTAAGGAGAAGAGGGCTCGAAGGAAGCAACGCTCTGCCCCTCTTGTCTCGTACCCCTGCAGGGTTTGCGGACGTTCGTGTGCATCACAAATTGGCCTCCATTCACACATGAGGTCCCACTCTCGCAGATAGACCTGCATGCCTACTCATCTGTCGCCCCGACAGGAGAGTCCATAAACTAGGTCCCACTTGAGGAGTAAAAACTAATTTTAATATACGACAGAGCTTTAATGACGACGTATTTCTGTTATTTTTTGGAACTTAAAGCCATGTATAAACATAGCAGATTTTGTGGCAACATGATTATAATTAATATTATGATTATTTTCTCGTATCAAGTGGAACCTTCCAATATGGCGGTTCTGGCTTCACAGAAATAGCGGATTGCGTTAACCAGTATATTTTAAGATCAGTGGATTAAACTAGCTACGTACCTTTCAAGAGGATGTGAGTCAACTGGTGCTGAATTTATTCTTACTTCCGACGTGTTCATTTCTAAGTCTTTTTTAGAAGTATTATTTTCAAGAATGTTTTCTCGTCTTCGGTTACGATTGGACAAAGAAGATCTATGTCGAAAACTCGGAGCAGTTCGCGGTCGATCGGAATAATCCGGTGGCGTAGGTAAAGGGTATGATTTACGAATGACGGGATTGACATTGCGCCGTAGAGGAGATGGTGATGTCGAAGGAAATGGAGGGGGAGTTGGAGACATTGAAGATTTCTTGTTGTTTTGGGCAGGAGAAAGGTTACTAAGTCAAAAAAACATTATGTGATCACATGCAAATGTTTTTATCGTATTGCTCGGAGAGGCTTCCACACTCCCCTCCTGTACTAAGAATTGCAACTCAGTAAAGCAGGGGGGAGAGTCTATCGAAGTTCATCAGACCAAATCTATTAAAAAAATTTTCATACGTAGGGTAGCCCCAAATTGCACGTAATGCTCAGTAGACATGGCTGCATACCTGTGACTCTGTGTTTCATGGTCATAGTTCTCGTCTGATTTTGATAAGACAGACGTTGTCCCGCAATCATTCAAAAATCTTTAAAATAGAATAGTATGACTGTCAAAAACGCACAATTTCAATAAAGCAATATGGATGCAATACAGTTACATACATATAGCACAATGCAATATGGATGCAATACAGTTACATACATATAGCACAATGCAATATGGATGCAATACAGTTACATACATATAGCACAATGCAATTGTGTAATAGCAACAAACTTGCGTTACACAGTGTTTCGGCAAGTTTGCCGAAATTTTTACAAAGAGTTATTATATTGTGAAGAAGATAAGATTCAAAGCTTTTGTAGTGCAAAACGCGATATTTGTAAAAACATCTATATTTTCTAATGCGATCTTGCTTAAGTATCTTACTGTAAGGCGCGTCTGCTTAGATTTTGCTTCAGAAAAGTGGGAGACACGAACATCAAAGGTTCCGACACGAGTGAACATTTTGTTAAGATATTGACATTGAAGAAAGCCATTATCGCTAACCTGGCATACTCTCTTCTCCATGTTTTTAACTCTTCAAAAAGATCTCTACGAGATGTTTTATCAACGTCACTATCTTCGTTTGCTGTAGATAATTGATGAGATACGATCTCTTTCCTCATGTTCTGCAGAAAAAAAAGATATGCCGTTACAAATGTGACACAAAGTGTCATACATAAAGCATGACACAAAGCACATTGACAATAATGTATACGTTTGCCAACGCCAAAAGTGGCGGACACTAGGGTGGAGGGGGGGGAGTGAAGAGGGGAGGCTACAAATGTTTATAAAGCATGACACAAAGCACTATTGCACATTGACAATAATGTATACGTTTGCCAACGCCAAAAGTGGCAGACACTAGGGTGGGGAGTGAAGAGGGAGGCTACAAATGTTTATAAAGCATGACACAAAGCACTATTGCACATTGACAATAATGTATACGTTTGCCAACGCCAAAAGTGGCGGACACTAGGGTGGAGGGGGGGGGGAGTGAAGAGGGGAGGCTACAAATGTTTATAAAGCATGACACAAAGCACTATTGATACATTGGCAATGGTGTATAAATTCGCTAACGGCAAAAGTGACGGACACATTGGCTACATGGGCACCAAGCACAAGGTTTACCAAGTACTAAACGATACAAAAGTTGTACATATTTCGTTCAATAGCTCGTTTTAATAGATTGATTATACACACTCTAGTAATTGGTCGTAATGATATTTTTTGAGCAGTTCTTTTTCACCGCCAGTAAATAAACATGGCAGACAGAAAGAAAACAACGGCAAAATGAAGGGCAATAATGTCGCTACACAAATTTGTTTTCTTTTTATACATACAGAAACTTCGCAACTTCCTTAAAATTTTAACTAAGATATTCGTTTGCAACTCCAAATCGAACAGACAAACGGACAAGCTACAATATATGAATCCAAATTAAAATGAAGGATAGAAATCAACTTGCCAATCAACGCCGTAAAATACAAAAGAAAATGACATCATTGCTGCAAACCTTTCTTCGCGATTTCAAGGCTCGAGAAGGATTTCCACATATGACAGCCGAGGAACCTAATTAATAAAATGTTCTGTATCGATAGTGTGACAACGTTGATGAAAAAAAATACGCTAAGCGAGCTAATACTAGCTAAGACACTTTACAAAGTTAGCACAGACACATTGAACTGTTACCGTGGGTTAAGTCACTGCTATCATCTTCATCTGAGCTTTCGCGTTCACCTACAAAAATAATAAAATTGTTGATGGGATACAATAAGTCATTGTGTAAATTTGTAAGGTTTAATTTTGAATTGAATATGCAGGAAAACAATGTCGGGGTCACGGGGAGGAAGGTTAGTGAAGAGGGTGAACACAGTGACTCCAGTGACTCAGTGTGATTAACATTCGATCTTTATTTCGTAAGCAGGCTGTTGATATGGATTGACATGCTCATCTCACAAAGGATGTATAAAGTTTTTACAGCCACATGGTCATCTCACAAAGGATGTACAAACTTTTCATAGCAACATGGTCATCTCACAAAGGATGTACAAACTTTTCATAGCAACATGGTCATCTCACAAAGGATGTACAAACTTTTCATAGCAACATGGTCATCTCACAAAGGATGTACAAACTTTTCATAGCAACATGGTCATCTCACAAAGGATGTACAAACTTTTCATAGCAACATGGTCATCTCACAAAGGATGTACAAACTTTTCATAGCAACATGGTCATCTCACAAAGGATGTACAAACTTTTCATAGCAACATGGTCATCGCACAAAGGATGTACAAACTTTTCATAGCAACATGGTCATCTCACAAAGGATGTACAAACTTTTCATAGCAACATGGTCATCTCACAAAGGATGTACAAACTTTTCATAGCAACATGGTCATCTCACAAAGGATGTACAAACTTTTCATAGCAACATGGTCATCTCAAAAGGATGTACAAACTTTTCATAGCAACATGGTCATCTCACAAAGGATGTACAAACTTTTCATAGCAACATGGTCATCTCACAAAGGATGTACAAACTTTTCATAGCAACATGGTCATCTCACAAAGGATGTACAAACTTTTCATAGCAACATGGTCATCTCACAAAGGATGTACAAACTTTTCATAGCAACATGGTCATCTCACAAAGGATGTACAAACTTTTCATAGCAACATGGTCATCTCACAAAGGATGTACAAACTTTTCATAGCAACATGGTCATCTCACAAAGGATGTACAAACTTTTCATAGCAACATGGTCATCTCACAAAGGATGTACAAACTTTTCATAGCAACATGGTCATCTCACAAAGGATGTACAAACTTTTCATAGCAACATGGTCATCTCACAAAGGATGCACAAACTTTTCATAGCAACATGGTCTTCTCACAAAGGATGTACAAACTTTTCATAGCAACATGGTCTTCTCACAAAGGATGTATTAAGTTTTTACAGCCACATGGTCAAGCATAACCCATTGAATACGTTTGATCAAGTAAGTACAAACTCTAGCAACATGTGCATTTTCACTGGAAAAATTCGACTAATTGAATAAATTAAGGACAATCGCTTGGTTCTCATACCGATATTAGGTATGATATTAAAGTATGAATACTGACCTATTACCCCTTATACTTCATCTTAAATCAATAAAGCGGTAAACGATTATACTCTAAAATGGTTGATAGCGGCAAAGGGTTATACTCTAGGATGGTTGATAGCGGTAAAGGGTTATACTTTAGGATGGTTGATAGCGGTAAAGGGTTATACTTTAGGATGGTTGATAGCAGTAAAGGGTTATACGCTAGGATGGTTGATAGCGGTAAAGAGATGGTTGGATAGCGGTAAAGGGTTATGCTCTAAGTTGGTTGATAGCGGTAAAGGGTTATGCTCTAGGATGGTTGATAGCGGTAAAGAGTTATACTTTAGGATGGTTGATAGCGGTAAAGGGTTATGCTCTAGGATGGTTGATAGCGGTAAAGGGTTATGCTCTAGGATGGTTGATAGCGGTAAAGGGTTATACATTAGGATGGTTGATAGCGGTAAAGGGTTATGCTCTAGGATGGTTGATAGCGGTAAAGGGTTATGCTCTAGGATGGTTGATAGCGGTAAAGAGTTATACTTTAGGATGGTTGATAGCCGTAAAGGGTTATGCTCTAGGATGGTTGATAGCGGTAAAGGGTTATGCTCTAGGATGGTTGATAGCGGTAAAGGGCTATGCTCTAGGATGGTTGATAGCGGTAAAGGGTTATGCTCTAGGATGGTTGATAGCGGTAAAGAGTTATACTTTAGAATGGTTGATAGCCGTAAAGGGTTATGCTCTAGGATGGTTGATAGCGGTAAAGGGTTATGCTCTAGGATGGTTGATAGCGGTAAAGGGCTATGCTCTAGGATGGTTGATAGCGGTAAAGGGCTATGCTCTAGGATGGTTGATAGCGGTAAAGGGTTATGCTCTAAGGATGGTTGATAGCGGTAAAGGGTTATACATGAGGATGGTTGATAGCGGTAAAGGGTTATGCTCTAGGATGGTTGATAGCGGTAAAGGGTTATGCTCTAGGATGGTTGATAGCGGTAAAGAGTTATACTTTAGGATGGTTGATAGCGGTAAAGGGTTATGCTCTAGGATGGTTGATAGCGGTAAAGGGCTATGCTCTAGGATGGTTGATAGCGGTAAAGGGTTATGCTCTAGGATGGTTGATAGCGGTAAAGAGTTATACTTTAGAATGGTTGATAGCCGTAAAGGGTTATGCTCTAGGATGGTTGATAGCGGTAAAGGGTTATGCTCTAGGATGGTTGATAGCGGTAAAGGGCTATGCTCTAGGATGGTTGATAGCGGTAAAGGGCTATGCTCTAGGATGGTTGATAGCGGTAAAGGGTTATGCTCTAGGATGGTTGATAGCGGTAAAGGGTTATACATGAGGATGGTTGATAGCGGTAAAGGGTTATGCTCTAGGATGGTTGATAGCGGTAAAGGGTTATGCTCTAGGATGGTTGATAGCGGTAAAGAGTTATACTTTAGGATGGTTGATAGCGGTAAAGGGTTATGCTCTAGGATGGTTGATAGCGGTAAAGGGTTATGCTCTAGGATGGTTGATAGCGGTAAAGGGTTATGCTCTAGGATGGTTGATAGCGGTAAAGGGCTATGCTCTAGGATGGTTGATAGTAGTAAATAAATAGTAATAAACATTGATCTTGCTGTTAATACTAACCTATTGCAGTAGAAAGAAGTACTAAACTATTTGACTCCGACCTATGATCAGAGCTGACTCCAAGCCTATGATGAGATGTACCGGGTCTTTGTCGTCCAGTACGTGGCCTTCCAGACGACATTCGTTGTCGACTCGCAGTCATTGGACGATTCCCACGAGCAGTTGACGGTCTGGCATGATTTGAGTCACCCTCACCTAAATTCACACGATATAAATATTCGTATCTTAATTGCTTCGCTTTTCAACTTTCTTTCAAAAAACGTTTTCTCTTAAATTAAAAAAATTTCCATGGTTTAGTTCTTGTGCGATTACATGATGAAAGATGCACAAAATTACTTCCCACTAATATAGAAAAAAACAGCAAATACCAACATCTGTCTTGAATGACTGCAAGCAGGGCGTATTTTCTGGGGGGTGGGGGTGGGCACACCTAAATTCTCTAGCACCCTCCCCCTAAGAAATTTCCAACGTACTGTTGACTATTATTATATTAGTATTGTACGATAGGAAATTGTACAGTGAGACTGAGCAAAAGTGGAACTTTTCATTCCAAGGACAAATACATCTTTTATACTACCAACATTTGAAATTAAGTTACTACCATGCACGCTTCTGTTCAAACATTAAAAATGAAAAAAAAAGTAAGCGCGAAGTAAGTTGTTACTTTATCATGCCAACTTCGTCTGCCTTTTATTTTTTGCCTGTGGTTTGTCACGTGTGAAAGCAACTGTTGTTTTAGTGTTCGCAATATTTAGACCCATAATTTATAAAGATTTATTGATCATTACGCAAGGTTCACTCATGAGCATTTCATTATATAAGGTTCACTCATGAGCATTTCATTACGAAAGGTTCACTCATGAGCATTTCATTACGCAAGGTTCACTCATGAGCATTTTATTACGTAAGGTTCACTCATGAGCATTTCATTACGCAAGCTTCACTCATGAGCATTTCATTACGCAAGGTTCACGCATGAGCATTGATCCGCCCTCGGGCTATAAGTTCTTACCTGTTACAATTTCTTCATCATTAAATGTTTTTATTCTTTCCGTGACGAGTTCCCAATCTGACTGAAGTTTTTCGTTAAAACTTACGTCATGCTGCGGTGCGGGAGTTGTTTTCAATATCTTCTGACCGTCAACGAGATCAAAAAGGAACGGTTCGTCATCTAAGTAGGTTAATTTTGGTAAAACTTTGTGTATTTCCACACGGTAATTGTAGTCGAGTTGAACCTAATAAAGATTTTTAATGTTAATTTCATATAAAGGCTTTGCAAAACAGCCGACATCGATTGTTGATATCATACCACACCTGTAGACAACATTAGATAAACGTAGACACACATAACATTACTCACAAGCTATTTAAACTGAAAACACAGGGGATGCATCAACGAACATTAACACATCATCATACGTCAGCACAAATAGGCGTGCGCAATGCAAACCTATTTTTATTATTGTCGTCAATGCTTAAAATATTAATTAAACACCAGTCATCACGACACCCCTGCCAATGGCTGAGACACTATAGGAAGGCAGGGGGCGAGCTGCAATACTAAATAATGGGTATTTGTCATCATTTATCGCTATGATGACGTCACTTAGAAACACGTGACCTAATGTAATACACCCAAATTCAAGACGGACTTTAATGATAATATACATGCAGCCCCAAATCAATCAATAAACTATAAAACGCGCGAAGTCGAAAATCAACACAGCTCGCTAATTTTATCGGTGACAAAATGGACGTTAGTAGAAAATATCGTCCATAAAGGTATACAAATAGTAATATCAGAGAAAAAATATCAGCAACTTCTCAGTCCAGTCCATTCACTTTATAAAAACTCGTGTTATCTCATACGACGTCGCTAATTAGCTGTTAGAGTGATTTAGCAAACACGACGTTTCGTCTAAGACGTCGTCAAATTTTGGCGAGGGATCTGGGTCTAGCACACTATAACGTCGTAAAGTATTTACAATTTAGCAAACCTTTTGTAGGACTTCGTCAAATGATAGTATGAAACATGTTTCATGCATTTCGGCATTTTTCCTGCTGAATCGTGTTTTCCGATCGTTTTAAACTAATTTTTTGATATCAAAAATATACTGCAGTATATTCATTTCAATAAAATTATAAATAAAAGCAAAATCATCGACATACGGCTTTGTGACTAAAATTGTTTTGACACCGAGGAAACCCAGGAAATTAGAGCAGACTCCGCGTTGTTTATTTGTTTGTTTTTTACGCTTTAAGAAACAAAATATTCGCAGTTTTTTCTTAAAAGAATAAATGTAGGCCTATGTAATCTTTTAACATGCAAATATCAAGGATATTTCAAGGATATTTCAAGAATATTTCAAGGATATTTCAAGGATATTTCAAGGATATTTCAAGGATATTTCAAGGATATTTCAAGGATATATCAAGAATATTTCAAGGATATTTCAAGGATATTTCACGGATATTTCAAGGATATTTCAAGGATATATCAAGAATATTTCAAGGATATATCAAGGCAAGTTTGTTTCAGCCGTTGTCTATACGACGTCAAATTGTATGTTTTCACGTCGTCGTCGTCAACACGACTGCCGTCGAAGATTGAACCGGAAGTAAAAGGCGCATGCCACATCATTTTCACGGCGTCTTAGACGAAACGTCGTGTTTGCTAAATCACTCTATTATCGAGCTATTTTGGAAAAAAAAACACTTTCAGAGAAAAGTCGTTAACTGACTACTTCGTCACATGTATATGTAGCTCTTTCAGTTAAAATAGTGAAAAGATAAAAAATGCAGAGTAAATTATACCTGAGGAGTGCAGTCTACTTGTGGTTTCATACAAACTGGATTACCCTCCAAAGTTAAACGTTTCAGTTCTGGGCACAAAACTAAAAACTCCACCTGGGCGATATCATCCAATAAATTCCTAAACAAAACAAATTGAGAGATTATTGACAGTAAGAATTAACAATTCAGAGTTGTAATTAAACCAGCAGGAGGATAGAATATAAGACGAATTTAATACAGCAGAGTTGCAATTGATGACATCCCTAGCGCACATCAATTCATATCGCTAAACATTGATGAAACTTGCCCCAGGCCTAACACAATCAATGAAAAGGAAGTATAATACAGCAGAGTTGCAATTGATGACATCCCTAGCGCACATCAATTCATATCGCTAAACATTGATGAAACTTGCCCCAGGCCCAACACAATCAATGAAAAGGAAGTATAATACAGCAGAGTTGCAATTGATGACATCCCTAGCGCACATCAATTCATATCGCTAAACATTGATGAAACTTGCCCCAGGCCCAACACAATCAATGAAAAGGAAGTATAATACAGCAGAGTTGCAATTGATGACATCCCTAGCGCACATCAATTCATATCGCTAAACATTGATGAAACTTGCCCCAGGCCCAACACAATCAATGAAAAGGAAGTATAATACAGCAGAGTTGCAATTGATGACATCCCTAGCGCACATCAATTCATATCGCTAAACATTGATGAAACTTGCCCCAGGCCTTACACAATCAATGAAAAGGAAGTATAATACAGCAGAGTTGCAATTGATGACATCCCTAGCGCACATCAATTCATATCGCTAAACATTGATGAAACTTGCCCCAGGCCCAACACAATCAATGAAAAGGAAGTATAATACAGCAGAGTTGCAATTGATGACATCCCTAGCGCACATCAATTCATATCGTAAACATTGATGAAACTTGCCCCAGGCCCAACACAATCAATGAAAAGGAGATATAATACAGCAGAGCAAAAATCATCTTTCACCTAATGAAAGCTAAGAAACAACAACATTGAAACAGTGATATGACTATAAGTAGATCAAAGCAGTTAATGAATTACGAGCAAATAAATTATGTTGGAAATACACACCAACACAGAGGCGAAATTCACCGTTACTTTGGAGGTCATTGTGCTAAAATATCACGAGAAAATTTACAAGTACTAGTGGTGATTAGTCTTCTATTTTTTTAAAAGGATAAAACTTAATTATTGGGTACAAGTTATTAAAGAAGGCAAGACAGTTTACAACAATTAGAGAAGTATGTTGTATTGTTGATAATTAGGGATTAAAGTAAATGTGCACGTATATCATTACCCCTCAAGATCCAAAACTTCCAAGGTATCCAGCATCGTTAGAGGACTTACTTCACATATATCATTATAAGCAAGATATAACTCCTTGAAAATGGATACGACAACAATAAAAGATAAGAAGTTAGACAAAAATAATTTCTTAGGGGCCGAATATATTATGAGCGAGTTGTCCCATCTAGGCAATTAGCCCCAGCTTAGCCGAGTTGAATCGCTTTGTAAATGTGTTATATATTATTTTGACAGTTGGATTACAAGGCAATCGAGTTGTCTCGCCTTGCCGGGATCACGGTTGCTGCTTGCCGAGTTACTCGCTGAGGCGGGATGAAAATTCCCATGTAATTGCATTCTGTCGAGTTGGCTCGGCAAAGCGGGCCATGAAATTTGACTCACGCGTGCGTTTATTGGTCAGTTTAAATTGACATAGACGTTAGTGCGATGTAAATGATGACAAATACCAATTATTTAGTATTGTTCAAACGGCTGCTGCAAAGTCGACAAAACAGATAGGCATTTATGCATCTTTACTAAAAATTGCTCTCCCGTGCAGGTTTCATGTAATTGCAATTTTTAACTCGTCTCGGCTGGGCCGAGTTGATCCGTTTATGTGGGACAGCTCGCCACATGTAAAAGATCCCTTAGTCAACAGTTAAAGGAGCTTCGAAACTGTGATGGCTACAAAGCATGCCACTGGGGGAGCAAATAAACAGCTAGTGATGTGCATCAAAGCCAAAGGGCTGGAGCTGGAGTCTTGATGTACTTTCAAGGGCTGCATGGGATTTATATCAAAAGTTAAATACAGGTTGTAGAATTTTGGTGGGAAGATCTTCCCACAAAATAAATAATACTATCTAAGGCAGCCGTAAACATGGCGTCAATATTGACGATTTTACTCTCTCCTTTACTGTAGTATGTTCCATGAGAAAACTATCCATGAGCTTCATAAAAACAAGGATTATCTGCTTTCTAGCAGAAAGTTTTCAGTAAATATTGCCTAGCAGCACTTTTACAAATGATTCGCTACATGCTCCAGCAAAATAACAAAATTGAACGACTAAAGGTACGTTTACACACAACGATTTGTCAGGCAGACACTTACGCCATATTACGTGATTCTTGCCATATATGGAACATTTGTCGTGAAAGACAAACCGCTGTGCGTAAATAATGCATCCAATGTATTTACGCGATTTCAAAAAAGAAAACAAATATGTCGAAGAACAATAGCAAAACGAAATTAAAAGTTGCCATTGTAGCTACGAAGGCAATTTATGTTATCATCATTGCCTCAAAAAATAAAGACAAAAAGAAAACAAATATAAAGATTGGTGCGAGTAAAGTGTAAATCAAGGTAAATTTGCCGTATTTCTTTTTTCAAGAAAATATTCTTGACTTCTTTCTTTTTCCGAATCTCTGCAGCTTTTGGTTTTTCAATAAGAACAACGACGCTTTCAGCACTTTCATTTTCCGTGTTGAAAGAAGACATTTCGATGATTTTTGGATAATCATAATTTGTTTATTTCCGAAGCCATAGCAACATAGTAAAAATCGGGAACAAATCTGTAGCTTGTTACAGATTTTCATCCGATTTTTCGAGTGGGGCGACTCTCCAAATATGGCAAGAACACGTAATATGGCGTCAGTGTCGGTCCGACAAACCGTTGTGTGTAAACATATCTTTACACTGCAAAATTAATTTAATTTAAGTGCAACTTAAATCTAATGTTTTAGCACCATAATGAACTATTGTTGCCGATATGCAATCCTTTTTGATTGCTTGTGCAAGATATACTACGCAGCTCAATAATTACGTAGCCCTGATTACTCAATAGACCTTATGCGTAATGACGTCAAAAGGGCGTTGCGCGTAGTGCATTGTGGTCTTAGTAGTCACGCGAATGTAAACATTACAATATGGCTATACAATTTATAGTAAGTCTGTATCTGTTTTTCGTTTTCTTTTACAAGATTTTAATCCGAATAAAGAACTTAAATCTATTGTAAACTCTTGCACGGGTCTTCGGGGACTTGGCTGTCTTAAAAAAAAGGCAAAAGTCCAGTTTCTGTGCCAATTTCGGCCGAGCAAAGTGGAGAGTAAGGTGACTTCACTTCTTGTGTTCCTACATCAACAAATTGCATCCCGGACGTTCTTTTTATTATTTTCCAAAATGTAAACACATAGAATACACAAATCTTTAAAAGGCATGAGTAAATTTCATATCGTAGAAGAATTTTTATCAAACGCCTGGTCGTAAGCTGTCATTTCACATTCCTAAAAGACTAATATCCTACGCGAGTGTTTATGAAGTAACTAAATCAACTCTTAACGTCAACCAACAGTACTTTAAGACCAGATGTTAGACAAAAATTTTTCTACCTTACGATAATTACCTATTCCATACATAGATCTGTGCATTCTATAGGATTAAAGTTAAAAAATAAAGAAAAAGCTCGGGATGCATTTTGCTCCTGTAGGAACGCAACAAGTGAAACCACCGTACTCTTCAATGTTTGGCAGAAATCGACGGTGAAACTGGCTTTTTTTATAACAGCCAAATTCCTAAAGAACCGTTCAAGAATTTATAAGAGAATTAAGGTCGTTGTTTGAACTAAAAGCTTGTAATACACGTCGGGAAACAGCAGCCGACTAGCTATCAATAGTAGCTATATTGCTATTTTTATTTTTGCGTGACTACTAACACCACAATGCACAACGCGCAGCGGCCTTTTGACGTCATTAAGCATAAGGTCTATTCTAAGATGCTCCAAGTAAATTCACTCAACTTCGTACGTGACTCACCTTAATAGAGCATAAGGAGCTGATGCCATCTAAATCAGACAAACCACACTTTGCCATCCATAATGATTGAAGGTTGACGAGACTAGTGCCCAGATCCCTATGAAAACATTCAAATGAATCATTTTGTATCAGCATTGTTTAAGAACATGCCCACGGCACAGATAACTACATAATGAAAAGAGTAAATTGAAGTGTATTTGAGTACATGAAGAAAAGCAAATAGCTACGTAAATTATACAATTTTAGGGAATATACCTAAAATGAAACATTTTCAGAACAACATCGAATTTTGTTAACTCAAGGTAACAAACAATGACTTCTACTCTTTTTGGAAATACTTCATGTTGTTGTATTATAATAAAGCATTGTTTGTCAAATGTATTGTTGCGTCTACGTAAAATTATTACCTCGAAGATTTTGCAATAGCTAAATAGTTTGATTTTTTAAAAATTCCACGATTTTAAACCTATTTAAATTTACTTTGGGAAACGTTTTTGGTTTAAAAACTTAAGCACATTGAGCATTTTAACTCTTGAAGAAAAAATTGCCAAAATTAGGGATAATCCTGTGTATCCTGGATTAACGGATGGTTGAAACTCTCCACAGGCCTTACACAAACGGTGACAACTTTGTCGCAGACATCATGACTTAAGAAATAAAAGATGTTTATTGTATCCACAGGCTTATGCAAAATCGAGAAGAACTCGAGAGTGCAAACACGAAAAGCATCTTTTATTTCTAAAATGCATTCATGAGCGTGATTAATGGATTGTTTTGATTGATTTGATTGTTGAGCACAGATCTGTTTCGCACAGGCAAGGCTAATAGAGAGCTTTAGCAAAGACTACGAGTACAACTACGTCATTTTGGCGCGAAAACATTAGGGAGTTTTAGCAAGAGTACGACTACGAGAACGAGTACGAAATTTGACCGTGTAAGGGAATGGCACGAGGAAGGTTGTTGTCGTTATCGCTTCGTCAAAATTTTGCTTTAGTTGTAAACGACAGAACGAGCCTTTTTATTGTGTAAAACACCGACGTTTGCGAAGCAGCTACGGCTCTATTTGTCAATAATGATATCAAAGAATCGATAATACTGGTTTTTTGAGAATATAGGACTCTTTAGACTGAAAAATCTTCACTATTTTAAGTTTTATGTACGATATATTTGTACTATTTTATTGTTTGTTTATCTTTCACTTTGCGTACGAAATACATGAAAGTTTTGCAGGTCATATTTTCCTTTTTAATGCGCATCTGCGCTCAAAAAGGGTTCTAAATTAAAGCTGGATGCTCGAAAATAGTACTGTAAACTAATTTCTTACAGAATGAAGAAATATACCTAATTTCTTTGGTTAAAAAGACATCGTAGTCGCGAATACGAATTTTTTACAAAACATCGTACTCAGATTGATGACGGCTACGTGTTTTTGTTGTCGCAACAATGTTTTCGCGCCAAAATGACGTAAATCGTACTCGTAGTCGTACTCGTAGGCTCTGCTAAAACTCCCTATTATTGCGACAACAACAACAACAACAACCATTGAGTTCTATAATAACTGGAGCGGCTAACTTTACTGGGGCGAGGTCGCCAAAAAAATGGCGGCCAACGGACGTATTTCCGCTGAAATGATCGCTTTGCAGAAAAATAATATTCTCGACCTCCCCCTGGTGTCTATAGTAAATTTTATAGAATTTTTCAAAAACAAACACGATATCACAGAATATGGATATCGTTAGTTCCATATCGCTTCTCACAGGTGAGATAGTTGCTTGTTTTGTTAGTCCGTCAACGATTGAAAAGCAATTATACATGAACTTGAAAAGCCATAAAATACATATCAAAGATCGTATTCTTTAAGACTGACTTGAACGCCAAACATACTGACGTTTTCCTGTTTTTGTTTATATAACTCAGCATACTTTTCTGTCATTTGTTAAAGCATTAAATCGTAAATTTACCCATCTATTTGCAAAATAGTTTCCTTAAAGCAAAAAGACCCTGCACACATTTTGCTCTGTGAGTATCAAAATGAAACGATCAGCCCAATGGCTTTACAGTTTTATTTTATTAGTTTACAGTACTATTTTCGAGCATCCAGGCTTTACTTTAGAACATTTTTTGAGCGCATATGTACATTTAAAGGAAAATATGACCTTGAAAACTTTCGTACCAAATATGACCATGTATTTCGTACGCAAAGTGAAAGGTAAAAAACAATAAAATAGCATAAATATATCGTACATAAAATATACAATAGTGAAGATTTTTCACTCTAAAGAGTCCTATGTTCTCGCAAAATCAGTATTACCGATTAGTTGATATCGTTATTGATAATTTGAGCCGTAGCTGCTTCGCAAACGTCGGTATTTTTTACAATAAAAAGGCTCGTTCTGTAGTTTATAACTAAAACAAAATTTTGACGAAGTGACAACGACAACAAATTTCCTCGTGCCATTCCCTTACACGGTCAAACTTCGTACTCGTTGTCGTAGTCGTACTCTCGCTAAAGCTTCCTAATAATGCAGACACGGCATACACCTTTGTTTTTATTTTATAATTTACATTAACACAGTAGAATATATAAGAAAGCCATACCTTATCGATGATATCACACTATTGGAGAGCTTTAGTTGTTTAAGATTTTGTACCATGCTTCCTATAAAGATAAAAAGCAAATGACATATTTTCGCATTTTGGTTGACGCGTCCCAAAAATAGAAGCGTCCGAAAAATTCTTGAGAAATTCATTAGTTCACGTTTATCAGTTGGTTTGAGAGAACTCCGTGGAAAAACACCTCACATCCTGCTTGGAAATGTCCAATCATAGCATGTAAATTTTATTAACTACCCAAAAACGTCAAAGCTTTCTGAAATACTCTAGCCTCTATCCTCGAAAGAAAAAATGCTGAAATTTCTCAAGCTGAAAGATCTTTTGAGTTGGTTAAATTGCTTCGTTGCAGTAACGTTTATGACTGTGACGATTATTTTTCACGACTGCTAACAGCGAAAGAAGTATTTCATGAGCAGTTGAGTTTTAGTGCATTCTGTATTTACCACATGACCACATTTCTTTGTTTATTGTGAATGTAAAAACATATTTGTGCACACTCCACAATGACATCTTGAAACGCTCACTACCGTAAAAATAATACCAAACATATATACAATAGTGTAATGTAAGAAGTTCAAATTCATCAGTCGTGTTTCAAATATATTATGACGGTTATAATGATTTCGCCGTTAACAGCGCTCAAACTTATTATGTTACGGCTATAAAGGTCATCGTTGTGATGCAATTTCAGAAAACCACCAAAAGTTGCAACTTCAAAATTTTGTCAAACCTCTTTTATATTAACAGATTCCAACATATTCTTCTTTGAGGCATGGAACGCGCGACGGCACGGAGCGGTTCACACAGGTTTGACGTGATTGGTTGATTTAAAAATTTACATGGTATGATTGGCAGGTTTAGAACAGGAAGTTAGGAGTTTCGAGTCAATGGAGTCGTTTCGTCAAAAAATTGAGGAGTACCGTAAATAAACCGACAAACGAGAGTGATGAATCGCTCAAAATTTTTCAGAACACTTCAATTGCCGCAACTGTAACGCAGTATGGAAATTATCAGTGGTTAATACTGTTTCTTGACATTAGCACAAATATTATGTAAAATACTCAATTTAAAACACATACGTATGCCGATTTTCCTAAAAAATATATTCCTGCGTGGTATCTTACCAAAATTTCCCAGACTGTTTTGCACTGTATTTACTTTCATTTCCAAGAATACAACCTCATCTAAGTCTTGAATTCCTGTCAAACTTTTCTGTGAAAAAAATATGTAATTTAGAAATTTACATCTCATGCTGATTACTTCACCTATGAATTGTAACATTTCGCTATTTATTTCCAAACCTAAACACCTTGCCCTAACATTGTAGTTTCAAAATACTATTATGCATTGCTGTAGCAAGTCCATGGAAACACACCCCTCCTGCAGAAATATTCGAATTTCGGTCTCTGAAAGGGCATTACAGGTTTCTCAAATTGTAAAAATGAAAAATATTCTGTATATACAGCTTTGTAATAATGTAATAGTAATACAACTTTATTCTAACACGTTTATGCTTTACAACAAATTTACTCATCATAATGAAATATGCATCTTAAATAAAACTTTTACTTTAAAGCCTCACTTTACTTATAATACAATAAAAACATGGGTGAGTTCATTGAAATTTAACTTTTAAAAAACATTTCTATGCCTAAGACAGGTACTTTGTAATTAAGTGTCCATGAGCAAAACTTAATTCAAGGGGTGCGTGATGTGACACATGACACATTTGTACATAGCAATGTTAGAATATATGTACACACATTTTCATTATCTTTCTAATATCATCAATGTATTTTCCATGTAGATACTCCTTTTCCCCTGAATGACTGCACATACGTATAAAGTATAGTTCTAAAATATTGTAAGTTAGGCAATTCTATGTTTAAATGCACTTAATGTTCAGTTTGAAAACTGATTTTAAGTAGAAACCGAATCCAATTCTTCAAAATTCAAATATTGAATTTTGTGAAAATGTAAGTTTTTTATAATCAATATTAGTAAATTTTTACCCTTTTGAAAATAGTAACATAAATTATGTTACATAATAATGCAATATTATACATATGTGTGAAGTTGTTGTGTCATAATGAATATTGTTATTGAGTTTAAATTTTATTGTAAAAATTGAAGGAACCTAAGCAAATAAAAATATTTTAATTTCCATTACAAAGAAAACTATCATTTATTTAAGGAAACAGAATATTAATACAAATGTTGCTCCAAACTGTCTGTTGAAAACTGAGTAATTCCTGAATACCTCACATATATAGTCATAATTAGGGAGCTTTAGTGAGTGATGCTTGTCAAATTTCAATTCATTTTAAAGAAAAATCACTAGTCATATGACATATATAATATTACAACCTTTAAAATGATGATTGGCATACATGGTAACAGTGTGCGAATTAGTTTAGAAAAAACGATGTGCAATTTTCTTGACAAAAGTGTTTCTTTAGAGGTATAATCAAATCGATATTACCTTAATTATTACACAGCGCTAATTGCTAAATTAGTAATTTTAAACGTGAACAAATTCATATGATTTACGATAGTGTTTTTTGTTAAAACTGCTGATTTTTGCACATCGTTTGAAAAAGTGATGTGCAATTATTTTCATTTTAGCTAAAACGATGTGCAAATTGCACATTGCACACCATTAATTCGCACACTGATGGTAAAGTCTGTTACATAGAATTGACCAGTTGTTACTGACAGTGAATTAGTGTAACAGCATAAAAGGAAAATGTACCATATAAATTAGTTTCCTGACAAACAATTTGTTGGGTATTTTTTTGAAATGAAAAAGATAAATCTACGACTCAAAGTAAACATTGACCCACCAGCCAAAAACTAAATGTTTTTTAATCATTTTTGAATTGTAGTCAATATATAAAATACCAGTTTTTGTGGCGAGAGATAGTCCTCGATAAGCTGTTCAGTGTCCACATTTGTTACCACTGGATCAGGATTCACAAGAGTGTCATCAAACTCTCTGATACTGACACATACACCTGATGATGTTGATGAATTTGGCATTTTATCAATGCATACGTCAGCAGCCATTGACAAGAGGAGTTTTACAAGACCTCCATGTTGGCCCTGCAATATGAAATACATTATTAAGCATTAATATGGAAGATGCATCCAGTTTAAATAATTAAACATTGTTAATATAGAGCTTTTTTTAAAATTATGGATATGCATGAAACTTGATGTAAAGTAGGCTACTATACTAAAATCAAATCATCGTTAATATTCAGTGAGGTACTTCACAAAACTATCATCATTAATGTTCAGTGAATTACTACATAAAGTCATCATCATTAATGTTGAGTGAGGTACACCACAAAATTATCATCATCAAAGCAATTTAGGGGGATCCTACTCTAGACTGGAACTTTTTTTAATGTGCAACAAAGAGTTGAAACTTGCACATGTATGTATTTAGATTTCTTCAACTGTGCATCTGAGACACTCAATACCATTTAGCTATCCTGTGTGAATCACAAACTCCACCATCAAGATACATAATTCAAATGATGTTGACAGGATGCAGGCTAGTTGATAGCTTACATACATAAGTGACATACATACAGCATGTTCAATACGTTTACCACATTAAAAGGCAGGTGAGGGGAACTGCTTAGTAATTTTGGTAAAGTAATTTTCATCACCCACAATGTTGCATTTTTATGAGTTATTTCAATTTGCATGTGAGCTTCCAGATTTCTGAAAGCATGTATCAAACATCCATTACAAAAGTTACTCTCACATTGTTGTTTGATGTCAAGATTAGGCTTATCAACATCATTATAAGAGGAAAAACTTTAGAAACTCTCCTAAATTAAAATACATGTGGGTAAAATATTAGATAAGATGTTCTCAGTAAGCACAGTGATGTCCAATATTGGTGTGCAGGAATGAAAATCAAAACAACGAAAACATATAGTGCAATGATGCAAACAAATAACGCGACTGATAGTATCAGATGATGAGGATAGTAACAAAAGCTTATAAAATGTCAGTTTTGTAAATTATAAAATAACAAAATAAACAAAAGCAAGTTTATCGATTCTTATAGTGCACTTCAATGCCAAGTATGGTAAGTTTTTGTTTCTTCAGATGGATACTCATCAACAAATACTGATATTATACAGAAATTCATAACAAAACGAACTTTCAATAAAATACTGTAACACGAGTACATGGCGCTATTTCTACCTTGGAAACACAAACAGTCAACACAAATTCGACAGAAATTCTCACCAAAGAAAATATTTCTCGCTGTTCATGTCAACCTCTTTTACTTTCATGTGAAGAGCACGGACATTCTGAGAAAACAGTCGATTTTTAGTGTTAAAATCATTAAAACCATTAAATTCAAAATGTTCACACGTTGCTTTCGTCGATTATAAAGTAGAACTATTCCGACCGGACATTGACACCAGTAAATTGTGCGAAATCTGTTGCTCGTCTGCCTCGGCACTATCGTCAAAAATCGAGGCTGCAAAACCCAGGAAAAAGTCAAACTTCTGTCGACAGCGCGACAGGTTGACATGAACTTCTGGAAAATGTTAATTTTATCTATGCTTACGAGTCTAAAAAAACAGAATGAGAAGTTTATGAATAATTGAGCGATTTGAGCCTGCAAGAACTATGGTACAAATTCTCACGATGGTCACAACATATGTAACATGCTTGATATTTGGTTTGCATGGGATGGAGAAGTACTTAAAAAACATTAAGATTAATAAGTGATCTGTAAGTGATCGCAAATTAATCAAACTAGGTATGTAAACACGATATCAAATATACATTTCATGTCTTAACCACTCTCGACAATGTTGCCACTTGGCACTTGCCAGATCGTGATTCTTTTTTCGTGAACAATGTTCATAGATTTGTGAACTTATTTTCTTTTATGAACTTTTGATAGACATCAAAAGTTTATGAGTTAAATGGAAAGTCAATGACTGAGCGAAAATCTTCAATGGCAGCTGCTGAACAGGTTAAACCTTAATTGCTACCTCAAAAGAACGCCTAAGTTGCCTAACTCAATTTTTCATGGAGAATTTCTCGTCATAGCTAGACAATATTTGGACAATTATTGGGTAATTCTATGGACAATGTGTAATACAAATTTGCGCAATTAACGAACCTGGAAAGTATGGAAACATGTTAGGAAAAGCTTTTTTAGTGTTCAAAATCCATAACAAGTTAAAAAATTTGCAAAGTTTGCAAACTGTGCAAAATTTGTTCCCTCAATGTTTCGTTATATTTTAATGCCACGCTTGTAAAAAACAAAGTAAGGTTACCTAAAAACTGAAAAAGGATAATGTCAGAAGTGGGATTCGAACCCACGCCTACAAGAGTAGACTGCGACCTGAACGCAGCGCCTTAGACCGCTCGGCCATCCTGACAACGTTGCGGAACGAATAGTAAACTGCTGAAAATTTCTTGCTTGTTTATAAAATGGCAAACTACACCAACTATTACATGTCCCCCCCTGAAAAAGAATACAAAAAAGAACAGAAAATTAATCTTGGCTGTTTATATATTGTGATTGCTATGAATACTGTATTTGTTTTTCCTAAATTAAAATTGCACGCGTTGTAAAGTTTTCATGCAGTGTCACATCATATGCTTAACTTGGAAGGACTTTTGTAACTATCGATAAATTTTGTCAAAGCACACTGCACGTATGTTGGCAATAACTATTTAGGATTCGAAAAGAGAATATATTTTGTGTAAAACTGTTAAAGAAATGATGGAACAACTGCTTGTCGATGCTAAAAGATTGATGTTGAAGATGAAAGAGGATGATAACGCTGCAGACATGCTGGTCACTGAAGGAACGAATCTTCTCAACAGAATAAAAGCCATGAAACAGGTTACTCGAGATTATGTGTTCATCAAAATATTATCATACCAATATTACCAGCCTTGCAATTTCTGATCTTTTGATATATGTATATCTATCGTAATGACAAGATTTTGCAAGATTTTGTTGGCATGACTGTTGATTTAATAATTTAGTTTTAATAATTTTATAAATAAATCGTACTTGTCATGACCATAATTGCATAAGTGTGGAAGGGGGACGTTGCATACTTGTGTTGTCACTTTAGTAAAGGTCTTTGCTTGGTAATAAAAGATTTATTGACTTTGTACAAAACATGATTTACATGTACAGTTTAGCAGTGAATGCATATATATATGTTTTGATGGATTTGAACCAATTTTTAGCGATTCAATAGCTTTCTGTTCACAAATTTAAAGTATGAAGTTTAATATCTATGCAGAATAGCTACAGTGGAAATCCCATACTTAGTCCTTATCCACTGATAAAGACTGGGTTATTGGTCAATGGAAGCAATGTTGTCAGTGAATATTAATGTATCATGAAACTTTGTGAACAATAAACACTAATTTAATGACTTTGATACATACGTAAATTTTATTTTCCATTCATAGCTTCATTATTAAATTTCATGTGATTAGTATGTGTTCAATTGACAAAATACCAAGGACAAATGCTTACACAATTGTATAACAATGATTTAATGCCTAGAGTAGACAGATTTATTGTTTAAAAAATTACAGATGTTACATGTTACAACCCCATTCATTCAAAAAATCCAAACCAAAAAATCAAGCTAAGCATTTGTTGACCTGATGATTTCTTGGATAATAAGAGTGTTTTTCATAGTAGTTGAAGCATTGATTTTCATGTATTGATTTTTCCTACAAATTTGTGTGATTTTTCAAATTAAGTTGTAATTTGCAATACATTTTAATTATAATTGTGACTCTACGTGAAGTATAAAAGATTTGTCTTTCTCGCAAGGACGAATCCTAGCCATAGTAAAAATTCACTTTACATGTACCTTTAACCAGTTGTGATCATGTAAGGTAACATTTAATAAATAGAAGTGTTCAGTTGGAATGTACAGTCTGGTGTATTTATGTATGTGATCTCTGAAAAAATTGAGATATATCAAAGTAATAAAGTATGCAAGTCAACTGCTTCAATTGCTCTAATAAAGTTGGAATTTTTGTTGTTGAATTAGAATTCACTTAATTTTTTTTAATTCAACAAGCATAAAGCTTTTTTTTCTCATATAGATTGCCTTGTATTGTGTATGATGTTTTACTGGTTTTGGATTACTAGTTCTTGTTGTACATTTACGTACGCTACTTGATATTAACATATGGAAGGCTTCAAATGTACATATTTGTTTTTCTATTAATTAGAAGTTTAACAACTGATTAAATGTATTAACTAGTATATACAACTTTATATCCAAGAAGATCAAAAAATCTATCATTGTCAGAAATAGAAGTAGGTTTAAGTTTAGGCTCATTATGCAAAGTACATCTTCCTATTTTTAAACATACATTAGCATCTTATGGGATCTCAATAAGATATTTCTGGTATGTACACTCTGTGGAAACTTTAAGTTAAATGCGGATTTAGATGCAACCATTTTATTACCTTTCATATGAGCATTATGATGATTGAAGTTTTTTGTTACTTCAGTATAGAGAAGATATAACCAAACTCAATGAACTTGCAAAGCACAGACCGAAGAGCACATTGTTGCTGGGAAGTAAAGAGGAAAGCACAAGAATAGCAGAACTGCAGCAAGAAAATATTGATCTTCAAACAACATTGGAGGATCATCAGTCAGCACTAGAACTCATTATGAGTAAATACAGAGAACACGTAAGTTGGTTTAAAGTTGCTTTCAAAATGATTTTTCGAGTCGAGAAACTCGTCTGATGTGAACCCGGAGAGAGGCAAGTTTCTCATGTAAACTTTTCCGTCTAACTTTCCCGTGCAAATAGACTTTAAAGTAACTATAGTGGGACGAGAAACTCGTTTCAAATGAAAGCTTGTCTTAAATTTGCATCTAGAAGGATAAACAATGCGAGTTTCATGTTTGTAAATGCACAGGTTTTGTAATTTTGTTTAGTAGTTTATCAATTTCAAGGTACGTGTCCCTCAAAAAGTGTTATTTACTATAAAATAAGAAGTTACATGTTTGTAGATGTAGATCGTCCAGGTTAGTATAGTCCTGAGAAAGACTGTTTTTTTTGTTGTTGACTGACGTTTCGACAACCTTAGCGGTAGTCATCTTCAGAGTCAAATGACGAGATTTTCGACAACCTTAGCGGTAGTCATCTTCAGAGTCAAATGACGAGATTTTCGACAACCTTAGCGGTAGTCATCTTCAGAGCCATACCTCCTCATTTGACTCTGAAGATGACTACCACCAAGGTTGTCGAAACGTCAGTCAACAACAACAAAAACAGTCCTTCTGAGGACTATACCAACCTGGACGATCTACATTTACAAACATGTAACGATACTCCCGGGTTCAAACCATTTACTTTATCAAGACGAGTTTATCAAAAATAACCAGGTATGGTGGAAAAGGCGGTGGGCTAAGAGGCTTGGGCCACCAAATTTTTCTCTCAGATGAAAATTTTGCTACTATTTATATATTTTAGCTAAACTTTACGCAAAATAAGACGCAGTAAATTTAGTAAATGTAAGTCGTAGCACCCCTTCAAGTTCAATTTTGTGTCACCGTCCCTGATAACACAATCGAAGACTGGAACTAGAAGGTTATTCAAAGCAAAATGGCGCCCAAAAAGAAAACAAAGCACTTACCCGACCTCTTGCACTACCCTCAACCGACTACCAACTCATCTTTCTAAAAGACAAGTTTTTTAAGACAAGTTTCCCCTCTATAACGAAGTGTCGAACAATAAAAATATCGAAAAAATGCACGTGTTAAGTTTCACGGCAATTCAAGTTACACGCTTCCCTTAAAATTTTTCATCGAGTTATCTGGTTTCCATCTGTTTCGAGTATTCATGTAATTGGACAAGAAGAAAAATATATAAATTCCTTGAAATGCTCAATGTGCGACGATGAAGTTTTAATTGCAATATGTTTGGTCGTGGTGAAGACGACATAAAAGTCAATGTGCGACAGTGAAGTTTAAATTGCAATATGTTTGGTCTTTGTGAAGACGACATGAAAGTCAATGTGCGACGGTGAAGTTTAAATTGCAATATGTTTGGTCTTGGTGAAGACGACATGAAAGTCAATGTGCGACGGTAAAGTTTAAATTGCAATATGTTTGGTCTTGGTGAAGACGACATGAAAGTCAATGTGCGACGGTAAAGTTTAAATTGCAATATATTTGGTCTTGGTGAAGACGACATGAAAGTCAATGTACGTCGGTGAAGTTTAAATTGCAATATGTTTGGTCTCGGTGAAGACGACATGAAAGTCAATGTGCGACGGTGAAGTTTAAATTGCAATATGTTTGGTCTTGGTGAAGACGACGGGAAAGTCAATGTGCGACAGTGAAGTTTAAATTGCAATATGTTTGGTCTTGGTGAAGACGACATGAAAGTCAATGTGCGACAGAGAAGTTTAAATTGCAATATGTTTGGTCTTGGTGAAGACGACATAAAGTCAATGTGCGACGGTGAAGTTCAAATTGCAATATGTTTGGTCTTTGTGAAGACGACATGAAAGTCAATGTGCGACGGTGAAGTTTAAATTGCAATATATTTGGTCTTGGTGAAGACGACATAAAGTCAATGTGCGACGGTGAGATTCAAATTGCAATATGTTTGGTCTCGGTGAAGACGACATAAAGTCAATGTGCGACGGTGAGATTCAAATTGCAATATGTTTGGTCTCGGTGAAGACGACATAAAGTCAATGTGCGACGGTGAAGTTTAAATTGCAATATGTTTGGTCTTGGTGAAGACGATATGAAAGTCAATGTGTGACAGTGAAGTTTAAATTGCAATATGTTTGGTCTTGGTGAAGACGACATGAAAGTCAATGTGTGACGGTGAAGTTTAAATTGCAATATATTTGGTCTTGGTGAAGACGACATGAAAGTCAATGAAATCGTGAAAAGTACTTGTGAAATTAATATTTTTTGCAAATTGGTAAAGAACGAAAGGGAACCAGTCGAAAGGTTAATGATAAACTAGCATTACCTGGCTATCGAAGTGCATTTATGTCCTCTAAAAAATAATTCATAAGCATACGAGAAGAACGTAGAGCTTTGATAATCTAGTGCTTATGTTTATGTTGCAAGGAAGGACCAGGCAACGTACTTGGTGTAAGCAGAGCAACTGTTCCATTCCATTGTACCATGTAGGTGTAAAATGGATTTAAAAAGAGCATTTTCTCTCCATTAGTTTGTTATGAAAACCGTATTACAACTGGAATCACTGTTAAGAAAGTCAAGCATCTCAGCTGCCAATGGTGATTACACTTGACAAAACGACACAACAAAATGAAGCAATGCCAGTCTTCTTGGCATCCTATGTAGAAAACATTCAGAACATCAACTTGAACTTATAAAAAAGGCTGGAAACGTTTTCAAAATATTTTCCGGTGGAAAAATTGCCTGCCTGTGTAATGTCCTAAGTTTGATGTATAATTGCAGCGTGAAGCTTTTAAAGTGCATATGCAGTGAAATTTAAATACATTATTTTATTTGCTTATTCAAGAGTACTTGCTCTCAACATCATTTTTATGGAAACAGAGTTCAATTTTGTCTTTTTAGATTGATTTTTTGGACATCAAAAGTGGCGGTTTTTGGTTCTTTTTGTGCAAACTTTTTTGGCTGCCATGTTTGCTAAATTGACGTCATAAGTAGTACACATTTTCAGCATGGCAATAGTAATTATAATTAGTTTGGCGACTTCCGTACTACTTATGACGTCAAATGAGCAAATATGGCGGTCAACAAAATTTGCACGTGAGGACAACTTTTGGTGATGAAATTAGTCAATTTCCACTCAACGTAAAATGACCATAAATATGTTAAATTGCTTGGAAACATCTGAATATTTCATTAAAGCTATAAAATAGTATATGAAAATTCACTGCATAAACACTTTAATAAATTCGAAACAGCTCAGGCGTGAGTGTGTGTACTTTGCACGACTCAAACTTAAAGTGCTACTGAAGTGAAATTTTCATATTTCGTTTTTCGATACAAACGTTTTCTCTGTATTTTACTGATCATTTTGAGCTATCGCCCACTGAATTTAGTCGATGGGAACGCATCAAACTTTGCGTTCAAACATGGCATATTTGCTAGTTTTGATGCGAATTTGACTTTGAGTGCGTGACGTCATTTAAAGGACGGAAGTTCAATTTTAAAGCTCTTAGTATATAAAAATTATATACGAACAAGCATATTTCCAACAGGAATTTTACATATTTTATAACTTCTCTTCGCAAAAATTGCGTATATTTAGTGACAAATGAGCAACACGCATAGGTAAGCAACATTTACAATCGATTAGAGTTTTATAAACTTCTTGAATTAACTTATATTTCTCAATAAACTGGGTGCCGCATCCTTGACGAAGTCTGCGGTTTTAACACACACGCAATGTTATCAGAAACTAACTGTAACGCGCTTATTTCCAATCATCCAATGTATACTACTTTTATAAACTTCTGGATTAGACTTATCATTCTTATCATATGGGTGTCGCATCCTTGACGTAGTCTGTGGTTTTAAAACCCATGCAATATTATCACAACGCACATAATATAAGGAGAATAATTTTTTATTAAGTTAGTCAAACATAACGATACACCGCAAGTTAAAATATGGCGAGTAGGCAAAATTCTGCAAAAAACCGTCGAGGAGGACAATATTGTGTTGCTGGTTGGCCCAACGGAAAAAGTTGTACAAACAGTCAACACACAGAGGGTGTCTCAGTACATCGTTTCCCCATGAATCACAAGGAGAGGCTGAGTAAATGGACAAAATTTGTCAGGAGACATAGGCCAAAATTCGTTCCTCAGCAGTACTCTGTGCTATGTTCAATGCATTTCGCAGATTCTGCATTCACCGTGAACGCAACAGTTGCAAAATCGCTAAACATGAGACGACAATTGCGCTCTGATGCTGTTCCAACCATAGACTCTGTAAAAGGCATTTCAATCCAAGGTGATAAGAGCAATCGCGACCGCAGAGTTGTAAGTACAAAATTATACAAGTTAAATTACACAAGTTTGTATGCACAACCTCGCTTCCAATGTTCGAGGTTCTAAGCCATCTGCGTCTTCTTCGACCGACACAAAATTCTCTCCGACTGCGTTCGCAAGAGGTTCATTTTCGTAAGGATTTACAACTGAATTAGCCACAATTGTATCCTCATCGCCGGAATTCGAAAGTAAATTTTCATTTGCCATATCTGAGTTTTCAGTATCCGAACTGCGTTCGCTTTCACTGCTTGAAGAACTCATATTTTATTGTGTATATGTGTTAAAAATCTAACAAAATACTAGTAAATCAATGCTCATACTTCGACTTCCGTCCTTTTAATTACGTCACATCCGTATAATATTTCAGTTATAAAAATTCGCACGCGTAACCCAACTTTGAGCAAAAATTTATTGATGATCCCGTGCTTCAATATGCATAAAAATTATACCAAAGTGATCAGGAAAGATAGGACTATTTGATTATAGAAAAAAATCGATACTCAAAATTTCATTTCAGTAGCACTTTAAAGAAACAAAGATCTCTGCGGACTCATGTTATAATCTCGGGGCAGTTTTATTGCAAGATGAAATACCCCACTCCTGGAAACCAGTTTCATTAATATCTTTCATGTCTATGACAGCAACAGACACAAGGTACGCCCGGACACAGAAAAATTGGTACGCATGGCGTACATTTGGTATGTTTGTGACCATAGTATTGGGTCATCCATTAAATTAGTATTAGTCCACACGACAGGCAACAAAAATGTTTTGGATTTTTTTGGAGGATTGTAGGACCAGACAGCAAAACGAACTGCGAGGCAATTCTTTATTTATGTCTAAATTGTTACATTAATCCATTTTACGGTACGAAATGGTATTTCTTAAATTTTTTCGTTTTCCAAAGAACTAATCAACAAGAGGTTTTATTGCAAATCAAATGCCACTCATTTGGGAACCAACCAGTTTCCCTTATATCTATAACATCTACACGGCAACATGGTCAAGTACGCCCGAGCAGAGAAAAATTGGTACGCATGGCGTACATATGTTGTTCTTGTAGCCATAATATTGGGTCAGCAATCAAGTACTCGTCCACTTGACAGGCAACAAGCTTGATCTCGTAGATTTTTTGGAGGATGGTAAAACCAGGCAGCAAAGCAAACTTTTGGAAGGCAATTTATTATTTATTTTCATTAAAGTGCTACAGTAAGCCTTTTTACGCTAACTACGAAGTTTACGGTAGCTACGAAGTTTACGGTAGCTACGAAGTTTGCAGTAGCTACGATGTTTGCGGTAGCTACGATGTTTGCGGTAGCTACGAAGTTTACGGTAGCTACGATGTTTACGGTAGCTACGAAGTTTACGGTAGCTACGAAGTTTGCGGTAGCTACGAATTTTACGGTAGCTACGATGTTTGCGGTAGCTACGATGTTTACGGTAGCTACGAAGTTTGCGGTAGCTACGAAGTTTACGGTAGCTACGATGTTCACGGTAGCTACGAAGTTTACGGTAGCTACGATGTTTACGGTAGCTACGAAGTTTAAGGTAGCTAGGAAGTTTACGGTAGCTACGAAGTTTACGGTAGCTACGATGTTTGCGGTAGCTACGATGTTTACGGTAGCTACGAAGTTTGCGGTAGCTACGAAGTTTACGGTAGCTACGATGTTCACGGTAGCTACGAAGTTTACGGTAGCTACGAAGTTTGCGGTAGCTACGAATTTTACGGTAGCTACGATGTTTGCGGTAGCTACGATGTTTACGGTAGCTACGAAGTTTGCGGTAGCTACGAAGTTTACGGTAGCTACGATGTTCACGGTAGCTACGAAGTTTACGGTAGCTACGATGTTTACGGTAGCTACGAAGTTTAAGGTAGCTAGGAAGTTTACGGTAGCTACGAAGTTTACGGTAGCTACGATGTTTGCGGTAGCTACGATGTTTACGGTAGCTACGAAGTTTGCGGTAGCTACGAAGTTTACGGTAGCTACGATGTTCACGGTAGCTACGAAGTTTACGGTAGCTACGATGTTTACGGTAGCTACGATGTTTACGGTAGCTACGACGTTTACGGTAGCTACGAAGTTTACGGTAGCTACGAAGTTTACGGTAGCTACGAAGTTTACGGTAGCTACGATGTTTGCGGTAGCTACGATGTTTACGGTAGCTACGAAGTTTGCGGTAGCTACGAAGTTTACGGTAGCTACGATGTTCACGGTAGCTACGAAGTTTACGGTAGCTACGATGTTTACGGTAGCTACGATGTTTACGGTAGCTACGAAGTTTACGGTAGCTACAAAGTTTACGGTAGCTACGAAGTTTACGGTAGCTACGATGTTTACGGTAGCTACGAAGTTTACGGTAGCTACGAAGTTTACGGTAGCTACGATGTTTGCGGTAGCTACGATGTTTACGGTAGCTACGAAGTTTGCGGTAGCTACGAAGTTTACGGTAGCTACGATGTTTACGGTAGCTACGATGTTTACGGTAGCTACGATGTTTACGGTAGCTACGATGTTTACGGTAGCTACGATGTTTACGGTAGCTACGATGTTTACGGTAGCTACGATGTTTGCGGTAGCTACGATGTTTACGGTAGCTACGAAGTTTACGGTAGCTACGATGTTTACGGTAGCTACGAAGTTTACGGTAGCTACGATGTTTACGGTAGCTACGATGTTTACGGTAGCTACGATGTTTACTGTAGCTACGAAGTTTACGGTAGCTACGAAGTTTACGGTAGCTGCAATGTTTGCGGTAGCTACGATGTTTACGGTAGCTACGAAGTTTACGGTAGCTACAAAGTTTACGGTAGCTACGAAGTTTACGGTAGCTACGAAGTTTACGGTAGCTACGATGTTTGCGGTAGCTACGATGTTTACGGTAGCTACGAAGTTTGCGGTAGCTACGAAGTTTACGGTAGCTACGATGTTTACGGTAGCTACGATGTTTACGGTAGCTACGATGTTTACGGTAGCTACGATGTTTACGGTAGCTACGATGTTTACGGTAGCTACGATGTTTACGGTAGCTACGATGTTTGCGGTAGCTACGATGTTTACGGTAGCTACGAAGTTTACGGTAGCTACGATGTTTACGGTAGCTACGAAGTTTACGGTAGCTACGATGTTTACGGTAGCTACGATGTTTACGGTAGCTACGATGTTTACTGTAGCTACGAAGTTTACGGTAGCTACGAAGTTTACGGTAGCTGCGATGTTTGCGGTAGCTACGAAATTGGAGCTCCTAAATTTCTGGCTTAGCTTAGAGCTGATCAACAAGTGATGCATAGTAATAAATAAAATTATACAAATTTTAAGATGTTGTGCATTTAAAGTTCGAGAATGCGCATTGCAATCCAAAGCTTGAAAAGTTAGTGTGGTAAATGAAGTTTGAGTAACATAATGGTGGAGTATGCGATTGTAACCATTTCGTGTACTGTCTGAAATTCAATCAGTTTTAGCAACTAATAAAGATAAATCCAGTGATGAGGACACTATATTGATAAAAGTCTGGGACTTCTCCCCCATGAAAAAGGTTGAGATAAACCCCCCGGGGAACAATAGATGCACTCATTGTTGTGAAATAAGCTAGTGAATTTTTAGGAACGCATGATTTTCAAAGTGCAGTAGATTTTGAGGTTTTTTAGAATTTAGTGGTGGAGGGTAGAATATAAGGGATTTTTTCTTCTGGGGGGGTTCTTTTAGAAATTAAGTATGAATGCCATGTTAGTATGTTTTTACCTATCAGATAAGTTTTCGAAATTCCGGTGCGTCGGGAAAAACTTAACCTTTTCCAGTGGCATAGACCTGCATGGAAAAAATACCAAATAGAAAGACCTTAGCATTATTTCAATTGGGTCGTCAAAACCAGCCGCACTCCACTTTTTGGTTGTCTCAACATTTTTTCCCCGTTGTGAAATTTGACAAACGTCCTTTTAAATGGCAATTGACATCAAACGATGAAATATCATTCTTGATAACTATACGTAACTACATGCTATTTGAAATTGACTGATTTGTTCTACTAAATTCTTTACAGATATTTAGTTTGGTGTCCGCCAACAGACTGGATGCCGAAGTATTAAAAACCAAATTTTCGAATGTAAGTAATTTCCATAGTTGATGTATCATTTTAGCGATAAAACCATGTTGAAAACACATTTTTAGTCGTCAAATGAAATCGAATTTCTATTTTACTGTAGTAGAATGTGATCAATTAAATTTTAATCCCGCTATACATATCTTATACAAAAGAATTGATTTTTCTGGGTGTAGAGATTGTTCGACTCTAGTAGAATGTGATCAATTAAATTTTAATCCCGCTATACATATCTTATACAAAAGAATCGATTTTTCTGGGTATAGAGATTGTTCGACTCTAGTAGAATGTGATCAATTAAATTTTAATCCCGCTATACATATCTTATACAAAAGAATCGATTTTTCTGGGTATAGAGATTGTTCGACTCTAGTAGAATGTGATCAATTAAATTTTAATCCCGCTATACGTATCTTATACAAAAGAATCGATTTTTCTGGGTATAGAGATTGTTCGACTCTAGTAGAATGTGATCAATTAAATTTTAATCCCGCTATACATATCTTATACAAAGAATCGATTTTTCTGGGTATAGAGATTGTTCGACTCTAGTAGAATGTGATTAATTAAATTTTAATCCCGCTATGCATATCTTATACAAAGAATCGATTTTTCTGGGTGTAGAGATTGTTCGACTGTAGTAGAATGTGATCAATTGAATTTTATTCCCGCTATACATATCTTATACAAAAGAATCGATTTTTCTGGGTATAGAGATTGTTCGACTCTAGTAGAATGTGATCAATTAAATTTTAATCCCGCTATACATATCTTATACAAAAGAATCGATTTTTCTGGGTATAGAGATTGTTCGACTGTAGTAGAATGTGATCAATTAAATTTTAATCCCGCTATACGTATCTTATACAAAAGAATCGATTTTTTGGGTATAGAGATTGTTCGACTGTAGTAGAATGTGATCAATTAAATTTTAATCCCGCTATACGTATCTTATACAAAAGAATCGATTTTTGGGTATAGAGATTGTTCGACTCTAGTAGAATGTGATCAATTAAATTTTAATCCCGCTATACATATCTTATACAAAAGAATCGATTTTTCTGGGTATAGAGATTGTTCGACTGTAGTAGAATGTGATCAATTGAATTTTATTCCCGCTATACATATCTTATACAAAAGAATCGATTTTTCTGGGTATAGAGATTGTTCGACTCTAGTAGAATGTGATCAATTAAATTTTAATCCCGCTATACATATCTTATACAAAAGAATCGATTTTTTGGGTATAGAGATTGTTCGACTCTAGTAGAATGTGATCAATTAAATTTTAATCCCGCTATACATATCTTATACAAAAGAATCGATTTTTCTGGGTGTAGAGATTGTTCGACTGTAGTAGAATGTGATCAATTGAATTTTATTCCCGCTATACATATCTTATACAAAAGAATCGATTTTTCTGGGTATAGAGATTGTTCGATTCTAGTAGAATGTGATCAATTAAATTTTAATCCCGCTATACATATCTTATACAAAAGAATCGATTTTTCTGGGTATAGAGATTGTTCGACTGTAGTAGAATGTGATCAATTAAATTTTAATCCCGCTATACGTATCTTATACAAAAGAATCGATTTTTTTGGGTATAGAGATTGTTCGACTGTAGTAGAATGTGATCAATTAAATTTTAATCCCGCTATACGTATCTTATACAAAAGAATCGATTTTTTGGGTATAGAGATTGTTCGACTCTAGTAGAATGTGATCAATTAAATTTTAATCCCGCTATACATATCTTATACAAAAGAATCGATTTTTCTGGGTATAGAGATTGTTCGACTCTAGTAGAATGTGATCAATTAAATTTTAATCCCGCTATACATATCTTATACAAAAGAATCGATTTTTCTGGGTATAGAGATTGTTCGACTCTAGTAGAATGTGATCAATTAAATTTTAATCCCGCTATACATATCTTATACAAAAGAATCGATTTTTCTGGGTATAGAGATTGTTCGACTCTAGTAGAATGTGATCAATTAAATTTTAATCCCGCTATACGTATCTTATACAAAAGAATCGATTTTTCTGGGTATGGAGATTGCTCGACTCTAGTAGAATGTGATTAATTAAATTTTAATCCCGCTATACATATCTTATACAAAAGAATTGATTTTCTGGGTATAGAGATTGCTCGACTCTAGTAGAATGTGATCAATTAAATTTTAATCCCGCTATACATATCTTATACAAAAGAATCGATTTTTCTGGGTATAGAGATTGTTTGACTCTAGTAGAATGTGATCAATTAAATTTTAATACCGCTATACATATCTTATACAAAAGAATCGATTTTTTGGGTATAGAGATTGTTCGACTCTAGTAGAATGTGATCAATTAAATTTTAATCCCGCTATACATATCTTATACAAAAGAATCGATTTTTCTGGGTATGGAGATTGCTCGACTCTAGTAGAATGTGATCAATTAAATTTTAATCCCGCTATACATATCTTATACAAAAGAATCGATTTTTCTGGGTATAGAGATTGCTCGACTCTAGTAGAATGTGATCAATTAAATTTTAATCCCGCTATACATATTATATACAAAAGAATCGATTTTTTGGGTATAGAGATTGTTCGACTCTAGTAGAATGTGATCAATTAAATTTTAATCCCGCTATACGTATCTTATACAAAAGAATCGATTTTTCTGGGTATAGAGATTGCTCGACTCTAGTAGAATGTGATCAATTAAATTTTAATCCCGCTATACGTATCTTATACAAAAGAATCGATTTTTCTGGGTGTAGAGATTGTTCGAGTTTATCGAGACAAGAAGTCTTGATAAACATGCCTAATTTTCTGAGTAGTTTGAAAGTTCAAGTGTCATCGTCAAATCATTGTCAATTTGGCATTTAACGGGAGAATAGAAATTCTCAAGTCGAAGTATTAGACTTACCACAACCATAGTAGTTGTAATGTTTCTTCTATACTAATCAAATAGTAGGACAGTGGACTCGTGTCTCATTTAACTGACCACGTGACTCGTGGACTCATTTAACGGGAGAATAGAAATTCTCAAGTCGAAGTATTAGATTTACCACAACCATAGTAGTTGTAATGTTTCTTCTATACTAATCAAATAGTAGGACAGTGGACTCGTGTATTAGTTTAAATTGCAAGAGGATGGCAGAAAAAACGTATAGCTAGCTATATAAAAGTTCATGTCATGTCACGAAGTCAGTTTTCATAAAGTTAAGAGAGGCGCTTCTTTGATGAGTTTGATATGAACATTGATTACTGCCATTTTCAATGGGCTGGATTTAGTATTTTAGACTACAGTCGAACCTCCCGCGAGCAGGCACACTTGAGAGAACGCCCTGCTGTCCGTTGACGGGAGGTGTCCGCTTCCGAGAGGTGTACGTAGCTAAAAGTGTAGAGGTTTTACTGTTTATTAAGAGAAAAGGAAGAGAGTGATTACCTTGTCCTTGGTGTTTAAGACTTTTCCTCGCCCGTTTGGCGCATGGGAAAAAATTTTTGTAGATACTGTAGACTGAGAGGTTTCTGTTACCTCCGACAGCCAAACACTTCGTCCTTACTGTTTTATTTATAGTTCAACTGTTGCCTTCATGGATCCGCATTTTTATCTCCTATTGTCTCTAGTCTTCATGCTCTTACAAAGAGTTATGATCTTTAGAATATAGCTATTATTCCAGTCTTCTGATGGTTATAAAAATGTTCTAATATTAATTGTATTTTTGTTTTTACCTTGAATGTTATAAATTTAACACAATCAACATTAAGAGGGTTGTTCAGATTTGTGATTAGTGTTAGAATCGTTTTCCCAATATCTAGATAATGACAGCATGGATAATACTGACATCCGTTTTGCAGACTCTGCTGTACGATTCTCTCGAGCAGTGGTTTTAAGATGTGCACGTTGCGTTATTTAAAATGTATACATTATGAAATGTATGTGTAAATTTCCCCTTTCTATCCGTACTTTAGAAAGAACAATCAAAGACAGAGCAAATCTGTGAAATGGCCAGCGTCATGTCAAAAGCAATACAAATTGACGACGCTGCCATTCAAGAAGAAGAAGAAAGACACGCTGCTCTTGAGTTTGAAAATCAGGGTTTACGCGAACTTCTTCACATAAGTGGTATTTCTCGCTCCGAATTTGAAGAGTTTCAAAAGGAACGCGAGCGACAGCGAGGATCATCTACACCGACAATGTCAGATTAGATTAGACTTGAAAAGCTATTATTTAGTTAGTCAACGGGCTGCATATTAGTAATAAAAACTTCGAAATAATTTTTAAACGTCAACATAAATACATTTGGGAAGCATTCCAATCTTTCAAATAGAATGTAAACGTACATGGTATGTTATGTTTGATAATGCGAAAATGCATCGATATCCGGAGTGTATATATTTTGAGGTTTAAATTCTACGGTTTTTAGAATTTCTTCGTCCATCCCAGTCAGTGCAGCAACTAGGGGCTTACCTCGTGGCGCAGGAAGAAAATGGGAGCGTTCAATTAAAAGGATTTTATTTTTTTGAGCTATTACATAAACATGACAATCTATCACTGGATAGCTTGCAACCCAACTTTCCAACGAAAAAAGTCTTGGTACGAGCATATGTTGCATAAAAAGCGTCGTATATCACGACGATATCGTTATTCTTTGTCAGTTTTATGATTTATATAGTGCAATATCTTGCGCGCATGTGCATTTAAACTCTGATAAAAACCTGACGTCCTATTATTCATGCGGATTGTCTGGCTAATGGTTTTTCGTGCAGCGTTTTATGTTTTTTTTTGTTTCTGCAGAAGAATAGCTATAAAGAGACTGACATTTTCATGATGTGATTTTTTTATCTGTTGCAGATATATTGTTTGCTTTTTGCTTGTAGACTAGATCACAACGCCAAGATTTCTGACGTAAGTTGTTTTAATGTGATGTATTATTTGTTGCCATACTGTTTAGCTGTTTTTTACCTACATCACAGAATAATGATTATACAGAAGATCACTGAAGTGTGCTGCACGTCCTCACGGCCGCCATTATTCCAGCAAGATACTTCGGGTTTTCCACTTGTTTTCAACCACCGCAATTACATGACGTCATTTCGTCGTAATGAACTCGAAAATATTTCAACTTGAGAAATGACGTCGGGTCATTTTGGTGGTTGGGAACAAGTGAAAACCCCTAAATATCTTGCTGGAATAATGGCAGCCGATATGCGCCCTCTGATATGTATAAAACTGGATAGCACAACTTAGTTCTTGACTTAAAGCCGGGTGGTGGCCATATTGGACTATCCACTTTTTTAGTTTTTATATAGGTTTTATATAACAAACTGCTACTCTCGCATTTATTTTGGATCATATGTTTTACTCTTGGGACAAAAAAGAATTATTATGATGACATGACTGCAATAGAACGGTTTGGGCAAAACTCATGTTTGCTAAACTTCATATAGAAATCTTCTCACGTTGCTTAAATATCATGATAAAAGATTTGGAATGATTTCTGAAAGAGAAAATAACAAGAATACAAAATATGATAAAAATTCATTATAAAATATATACTAGAAGTGGATAGTCCAATATGGCCACCGCAGTCAAAAGTTGGCTTCAAAATTTTCTAGGCACCAGAATTAGGTGCGTTATCCAGTCTTTATATATATATCAGTGATATGCGGCGCACAACATGCGTGAGGACATACACGTCAAAGGTATATTCCATATACTGTGCTTATATCATCATTTCTTTCGTACGTACTTGCAAAATAACAAAAACAAGTTCGTCATTAAAACAACTATGAACCTCTTGTTCTTTGTACGGCAATGGAAATGCTTAAAGTCAATGAAAGATGAAATCGTCCATTTCATGTATGCATGCATGCATTTCATGTAAGAGAATTTAATCTTATCGATCTTTTACCAATTCACTTTCATTTAATTTAAGTACATTATTGAATGAAAAGAACAGTGATAGTGTGTTTTCCAGTAGATGAATTGAGGTAAAAAAATTTCCAGCCGACTATTTGAAAAAGTATAAGATAAAACGTATATACTCCAAAAAACATCATCTTATAAACTCTAGATTCGAGTTACATTACAAAGAGACAAAATTTAAAAGCGTTTAAATTTTTTTTGCTACTAAAACTCGACTTTTGAGTTCACAACATCCTAGCACCTGCAAACATAACGCACTGTTAATAATACATTAAATCATGTCTGCGTTGTTTTCCATTCAGTCAAGACAAACTATTATAAATGATGTATTGAATTATGTGTGCGCTGTATAGCAAAATAATTGTTGCTGGCATAGCAACTAGCAACTCCATATATATTCATACATATGAATATAAAATCGCGATTTATATCAACTCAGTCCGGCTAGTAAAATTAAACCTTGTGTATTGGTTCTGGTTAAGGAAAATTTATTTTACTAAAATGTTCTAAGTAAAATGAAGCATGAACCACAGTGATTTTGTTCAATTTTATTTATATCGCGTGGTGTGAGTTTTTTGTGCTTTGTGCATCCAAAAAACTTAAAAGAAGCAATACTATACTATTATTCACGGTACTATTTTACTAACTTCCAGTAATTGTATTCAATGTACATACAGCTTGCTACAATTCGTGAGATACTGATCCTCTTAGGAACGTTTAATAATCTTCAACGCCAAGACAAGGACGAAAATAACCGTAATTAAACGTTTCTTTTTCAATTTCTTTATGCACTGGCTTTGAACAAATTGTTTAAGAAATCTTTGTTCAGATCCAGGTCTAATCTCAAGTGAATAATTATCCTAACTATCAAAGCGGCTAGCGGGAACAGCTTGGCGCCAGAAAATCGATAATTATGAGACATTATTGCCAAAAATACAACAAAAAACATGATAACAGATCACGCAAATGTTATATAGCGCATTTATTCCTCATTCTTCATTCCACGCAAATATTCTCGATTTCAATATTGTCTGGAAAGTACAACGAAATTATACATGTATAGGACGTTGTGAAAATCTAACCCACGCAATATCTTCATCACTTTAGCTCCAACAGAGTTATTAAAGATCTGTAGCATCATTAACTCGGCTGGTTGTCTTTGAGTTTAAGACGAAACGATTTTTATACTTCACACAGACGGAGAGCAATTTAAAATAAATTCGTCAAACTGCCGTCGCTCGTGAGAACACTTATTTGCATATTAATTATCTTTCAAAACGTCAGAAACTTAAGCATCACATTTTATACTGTTGTGCAATGATTGACTTTTGAACTAAACCTAGTAAAGTTGACATAACTTTAGTAGCAATAGAGTTTCAACTGCTTCATACAGCAACATTTGAAGAGTTTTGAAGGAGAGGGGTGGGTTTGGGTGGGGTGTGTACATATGTTTGTATAATTTGCCTACGCATGTCTACGATTATACATAACGTGAGAATAGAATTCTCGATAGTTTTGAAAATAACTTTCTGCTTTGTTTCATGTTTGATTATCATACCAAAGGCAGGGCCACATGATATTGACATTAAATGGCCGCATGATGTATGTTTGTTGTCCATGACTCAAGTCTGAAAGCGCTTTTCTCATTTCTTTCTTTTCCTACTCAACGAACTATAGTCCTCCTTAATAACCTTCACGTTAATAGGAAGCTTTAGCAAGAGAATTTTTTATAAAACATCGTACTCAGATTCATGACGGCTACGTGTTGTTGTTGTCTCAACAATGTGTTCGCGCCAAAATGACGTAATTCGTATTCGTAGTCGTACTCGTAGTCTTTGCTAAAGCTCTCTAATCCTCCTGTGGATGTGGAGGAAAGCTAAACAAAAGTACAACACATTTCATGTTATAACAATACTTGTTGAGTAAATTCAACACACTTACACCACGCGGGCGGTGACATAATACGATTTTCTTCACCTGCTGTGATGCTAAAATCGTTGTACGGGTGGGTCGAAAAGAAGACAGGTTGCTTTAGCTACTAATTTTGTTTGTCTGCTTATACAGCACAAAGAATGTAAAAGAAACACGGATGTCTGAGGTCTGAAAAACAAAACAGCAGGTGTGGTTGCGGGGTCTTAAAATGAAATTCAACAGTCAAGGCTATAGATCATTCATTTGGCAATGATTGAAAAAAAATGTATGTTCCGTAACTTGAAAACGGAGATCTATAGTGATGTAGATAGTCAATGAATTCACGGTATTTCAAGATTCCTTTCAAAGGCTGGTCACATTCTACGTCATTGCGTTGCAATCTTTTTTTTCACAACATTGAACAAGAAATGTTTGTGTATGGTTATGTATCAGAAGTGACATTGTAAGAAATTTCCAATTAGTTCTATGAACAATGTTTCGAAAAATGAACATAGTTTATTTTTAAATAAAAGTATATTTGGCTCAACTTTGTGATCATAAAAGTTTAATTATGCCTTTGGTTTTACCGCCAGACATAGTAATTGCGACAAAAGAGTGTATTTGTGTCGATATTGAGCGATCAATAATGAAATCAGTACAAGCCACACAACTTACTAAGCGAAATACTTAAAGGTTAGTTATAAACCATAATTTAAACTTGATCATGTGGTATGAATAGTGTGAATAGCCCATTGAACTATATAGATGGAAGGCTACGTCAGTCGATATTTTGAAGCCAGTAGAGCCGAGTCTTTCCATGCATTTGTAAGCACACGGCCGATAGACAGAAGCGTAAAATAACTTGAACAAACTACGAAGCTTCAAAAACAAACACAAATCTTTTTGTCGTAATTTGGCAATCAAAACTTCACAAATGAGACTTAACACCAAGTATACACAACTTTTTGACAATTACATTTCTGAAAAGGAGGCCATAGCCAAGCACAACCACAAGGAATTTTGCTGTTGTTGTTTGATTTGGTATGTCTGCGAATGTGCTCATAAAAATGCTCATAAAATTCTAAGTAAACATCAGTTTTGTAATTGTATTTTTACCCAAAACAATTATTATTGTTTGTTTCTTGGACGTACAAATTTACAGAACAACACAATTTTTAGTTCAAACTTACAAGAGATTTGGTTTTAAAAGATAAATTAGATAATATATGATAATACTCGTCACATCCTTCCAAACTAAAGGCTTCTGTAAATAGGTGTACGTACAAATATTTCATGGAGAAACATGTATATTATTGAATACATCCAGTTAAATCCTTTTAAAATAAACAAGTACTTGCTGAAATGTTTCCGATTTGGATAAATTGAACGATCAACGATGTCATTGTTTTTCACAGTTTCCACACTTTGATATTTTCCATTTCGAAATAGGTATTCAATAGGAAGCATCATAATTGACTGAATGAAGATTAAGCCCCATCACCTTTAATGCCACAATACTTTTTTGGGTGTATTCTTTGAATGAAATCTGAAAAAGATTTCGATAAAAACATGTTTCTTTTACAAATCTCGCGTAACGTGTAGCTTTGCGCGTGCAATACACGTAAATTGACCTCCAAATACGCGTGTCTGGAGGTCAAATTTACCTTCAGGAAATTATTAGGCTTTTCTATTACAGGTAGCCTTCCATCTGTTATAGTTCAATGGAATAGCCACCGTGTTAGGCTGCAACAACCGGCATAAATGCAAGTAGTCGCAAATGCATGTTCCCGACCCATCAAATTACAATTTGCATATTTTTTTAGGTCTCGAATTCCAGCACAATTTGTGAATCTCAAAGAAAGCTTTTATAATGTTGCATGCTATCACCTTTTTTTAACAAAAAATCTCACATTATGTGAAAAGGAATTCTTGAAAAATATGTTCCACAAATGTGTTCCCTTGTTTTTCGCTTTGAAAATCTAGAAATTCAAAGTTGCAGCAATCACAGCATGTATTTAGGAATCTTCACAGCGTAGCGTACCTACCTAGAATCTTAAGAATACACAGCGTCAACAATAATGCCAGTCAAGAGTGACATCATTCATTTAAATAAGTCGTTAGTCATTTGTTAAGTAAAATTAATACCGTAAGAAATACCTGTTTTATCATTGAATAACGGGGCACTAGTTTTGCTTCGTTTCTACGCTTTCCGTGTATTTTTTATCTTTAGGACAGCATAAAGTGTTGTAGTTTAAAAGAAAGGAAATTTAGCAAGCACTTAAATCTGTTTAAAGAAGCAGATGCATGCAGATTGGACTTACTATAGGACATTGTATTCTACTATATATTCAATAACAAGTAACAAAAGCCAAGTACAGCATTTTATATTACATGTGTACAGTTTTGTTCAAAATGTTTACTATAAAGCCAATTTACTCAAATTACTTCATATTTATGTAGACATTTTTGAATCTAACATGACAACAATAGGTAGATCGTGTTAACGTTAAAAACACTCCAGTATTTTTAAGGCCTGTTCATCGAGGTCGACAAATCACACACAACTGTCAGAGAAAAGTATATGATATTCAGTATAAAATAAAACTTTATCAAAATTTTTAAGGCGACTCTGATCTCTTCTATAGCAGGAGTGTAACACCACATGTCGCCGCCCTGATAAAAACAATTAAAGGGCTGCTCTCTAGCGCTAAATTTTTTGCAGAAGACTGCTGTGTAAGTTCTTCGTATGCAATGTTTTCTAGATAGGGACTCCCATAGATCCAGAGGCCCCTGGTTTTGCCCTGTGTGAGCCTCAGTGGCTGTTTACATGAGCCCTACGAAAAGGGCTAGTCCTCCATGCAGGGTTGTATTTTACCTCTGTTTTACATGCAAATGCTAGCCCTACAAGAGCTCGACTTGCACAGCGAGTATCGGCGCTAAAATACATACTAGCTGAAAACAAACCGAAATTAGTTTTTGCTTTTAGACGCTTCCTTAGTTTGTTTGCTTCCGTTGATGCCTTTTCTTGTCGCCATTGCTAAAAAGCAATGCCTTAGCACATTGAAATCAGTTTTAGCCCTACTTGGAGGACTAGCCATGCCGAGTGCGTTTACATGGGAAATTTCCAGCCCAACGTGGCAAGATCTCGGGTAAACCATAGCGAGATCTCGGCAGGTATGGCTGGCCTTCATCTCATGTAAACGAACAGTGGTTTTATATGGAATTTTAATGGCACGCGAGATGTGGCTTGGTAGGTCCAACCCTCCTCGTAGGGCTCATGTAAACAGCCCCTTGTTAGTCACGCCTTCTGTCCAACGGCATAAACAATCATACGATGATTTCAATAAAATAACAACTTTCAACTATTTTTAAAAGAGTCTGTTTGCATCATGTGGTTATCATGTGGCAATAATGCCGAGATTCATTGTTGACAGAACGACCGCATAAGGTTTTCAAGTTTGAACATGAGCCTACAAGCGAATTGCCTCGGCTTGTGGGATTGAAAATAAAATTGTATGCGATGAAAGACTTCAAAGCAACTTTTTTAAATATTCAATTGTTTTAATCGGCCTGCCAGAAAAACTTTTTTAATTTTCGTTACTTTGGTGTCATAAGCAAAATTTTACCCCACGTGTCTTGCTCAATCTTACATTTAACGATGCAAGATCATATGGGATGATTAGGGTGAACGTTTGCTCCGTACAGGAGAATATAACATAATGCTATCGTGACAAATGAAATATCGATATTTGCTTCTTCGTTGTTACCGCTTTTGACATAATGGACGCATGTCAATAATAACGTTTGTATAATGGCGACCTTCTTAAGTGTAAAGTGACTATCTATATTCATAACCCTCTTGACCATACAAAAAGCGGTTGTTTGTGTCGGGAGTCTAGCATCGGCAGGAACACTTCCTGAGTTGCTTAATGAAGTCAATAGTCTGATAGACCGACAAACTTTGTGTTAATCGGATAACAAGTGTTTGAGTGGCGAGGGAGCAAATTGTTGTTTTGAAAACCAGCACCTTTCATAAATCAACACACACGCTATGGGACTTTTTCAATGAGAACAATGAGGACAAGAGGAATGCGTGGACATTTTGCATGCATATCAATCATCAAATTCCTGTCATGTTTTTACACAACTGACCAATATGGATGAACTTAGTGCGAGATTCGCGGTATGATTCCTGCATTTAGAATATGTTAAAATTGAATTTTACATGCAAGCGCTATGATTACGTTGCGTGAACTCGATTTTCTTATGAAGATTTTTTATAAACGTTCATTCTTCTTCATTCATTCAATCCAAGCAAAAATATGGGCAGCTTAATGAATCAGAAATAACAAGTCTTTTGAAGTCGCTTTGTTTCATAATCTTTTATATTACTTTAAAAAATTTCATGGATGTGCTTGCAATGTTGGTCGTGTCAAAATATGAGAGAATGTGATACCGTAGGCTGTTATGAAGGTCTGTGTTGTATAGTCATGTACACATAAGTACACGTACATCAAAGTAATTGAATACAAGTAAAATTTATCGGGTAATTTGAAAAGAACAAGTTTGTGTAGTTGTCAAATTGATTAGATTGATAATCATACCACGAGAGAAGAATATGTCTTTTTAGACGCAGTCTCTATCTTTAGTGAAATCTTTTGCACGTTTGGCTAAGTGTCGTATACAAGAAAAGACATCACGACTTCATAATGATAGTAAATTATTTTTATTGTCTGTGGCAAACGATCCATTCCTGCTAACAAATATAACACATGACGCAATCGAAAGGGTCACAAATATGCTGGGAATGATTGGGCTTGCTATCAGGAAAACTCGAGATGTGTATGTTAAAAGTGAGATTAAATTATTTTAGAATCACTTTTTTCATGTTCAAGTTATTCAAGAAAGTTTTTAAATTCCACTTCTTTATACTGAGTCGCTCAATCGTTAAACAAAGCCGATGATATCATCAGTTGGTTTTTATTGAGGAAATTAAAAAAGGAAAATTGCCTGCTTACATCAAACATAACTGTATTAAACTCGTTGTGATTTTTAATTATATGTCGTTTAATAATTTTAGTACGGTACGAAATGCGTGCTGAGCTCTACAATAAAATACAGCGAAATAATTTATAGCTTCATCGACTTCTATTTAATTAGCAATTGCCTAGTGGGGGGAGCTTTTGTCTGGAGACTTGATGTGTTAGAATAGTCTAGAACATTTTAAATGATCGTGCATTATTATTACACTAGCGCATTTTCTTTTACTAACAACGAAATACGAACAAAGGAAAACAAGTGTAAGCTTGATTTAAGCACGTAGCTACCACACTATAGAAATATTACAACAAAAAAATCCTGAAATATTTTATGGCTTGCACAGCATGTAATACCAATCGTCACTTTGGTAACTTTGCTTGTTCAAGAATTATGAAATCATTGAATTTGGCTGTATACGTATCTTTTCAAATGTATTCAATTATAATAACTTTTGAGTTTCTTCAGAATAAGTGACATAGCTAGTTGAAATTAACGTCAGTGAATTATATAACCGAGACAAAACAATCAGTACTAGAGAGTTTTATTTTAAATAGAAATCCAGCTAATCTTTGTCGTATAAATTTTTTAACAGCAATCACAATGTGAGTCCGAAAAAGCACAATAACGTATTTTCATAATCACCATGACAACCATTTATTATGTGGCTGTTAAAAAAAACAAATTGAAAGGGTCGAAAATAGCTGCGTTTCACAGCAGTTTTAATTTAGGAGTTGCATACTTGGAGGTTTTTACCCCCAGTAAACTATAATTTCATTTTCGTTTGTTTATATTAACATTACAAATGCATGCTTGAAAAAAATATGATAAAAATTTCAAAGAAAACATATCGTTTTATTGTGGCTACATGACAAACGAATACTTCCAAACGTTTTGGTCGTTTGCTTGGATACTAGAACACAAAGCAAATGGTTTTAAGACATTTTATGCAATAGTTGTTGTCAGGATATTTTCAATTCCAGGACTTTGACTTTTCTATTTGCAAATTGCTTCAGTTATAATGGAAACTCTGCCGTGACACATTTCTTTTAGGCTTTTTCAAATCAATTCTTTTGCATTTATACTATTCCTTTTAGTCTAGTAATTTCCTCGACGATTCATTCATAGACAACATCAACGTCAGTTTTGCTTAGAATCGAAGTAAGCGAATGCTTTGTGCTCGGAATTTTTACAAAAAGTATGAAACTAGAAAACTAAGAATGTCATTTTCAAAACTTTAAAATATTCCATTACCTCAAAAAGTTATATAAATTCCGAGATGATTTTCATTTATAGCACCACAGGATTTTATAAAAACAAATTCTTTCCTGTCCTTTTCTAGCTAATTAGATCATCACAGGGGCGAATTGCTGCCGTGAGGTTTTAAGCAATTACATGTCGAGTTAAGTGTTTGATTGAAGATACATAATCTGCCAGGTTATTGCTCATATAACATATCGTGTAGTTATGTACTGTGATCTTCATAGCCACGCGGCTAAAGCCAGAGGGCAATCATTCATCAATATAGTATAGAGCAAATTCCGAAAAAGCAATACATCTTGAGATTGCAAAATATGCATCAAAACAAGACGAGGAGTGACCTGTAAATTTTCGACTTTATTTCAAAGTCATACACATATATATTTACAACGCATGAATTAAGTAAACGGAAGTAAGCAATAGAAATTAAATAGTGTGACAACCATTCGGGTCTGTAGTTTCAATTCATTCTTTTGAAATACAACACCTCTTCCAACTCTGCTTTTGTGAATGTCAATACTATATGTCTTCAAATTGTCGGCTAGTCATGGTTTTTAGTCATTAATCATCTAGCCATCAAAACCTTAATTGTATATATTTGTTGAAGGTGATTGCGTTTAGATGTTTATCTAACAAAAACATTATTTTCAACAACTATTAGGGCATCAAGCACTTCAAACTTTTAATGTCTTAAAGGTTGAATGCAATGTATTAAAAACATGTTCCTGTTTATGAATCTGTCTATTTTGAGGATCGCCTTTTTCTACTCTTTTGAATATAATATAATGATTTTAGTGCTGAATGAGAATGAAGCTTTTCGTTAGTTTGAGCTATTGGACATGATCGAATCTCGGCAAAGTGATTACTCTTATGAATCGCTTATAATTACATATACGTCAATTTTAAACTCCCTGAAAATTCATGCATGTTGACTTGCTACACGGTAGACTGTAAATTATACTGCCCTCTGGTTTTGAACAGTTGGAACTCGTGCGATTGAATGTACTCGCCGCAAGTAATTAATCATCTTAACTTGTTTCATGACGACTAAATAACAATTAGATTATCTGCTTGAGATTTCTATTCGGTGATAACACGTCAAGTGCGAATCATCTATTTCAGTACGTTTATTTTTGTGGAAATGAAGAGTGAATGAATAATTAATTTCATTGCTTCGTCAAAACCAGCAAATTGCAGTGTAGCGTCTAGCTGAGAATAATTTCTCATCAAAAGGCGGGCGAGCTACCATTAACAAAAAATGCTTGCTGTAGAACGGTATATTTTTGCTATATATTCGCTATTTTTAGACAAATACCGGTAGCAGATGGAGCAGGTAGCGTAGTATATTGAAAATTAGAAGATGGAAGCTACTGAACAGAAGCCATGTCAAATATAAGTTGTAAATTATTTATTACAAATGTGTCCAAATTATATTCATTCAAGTCTTGTAATACATTCGATAATCGCCTAAAGGTTATGAAAGTTCTGATGTATATTGGATAATGCAACTGATTCAAAAGCCGCGCATTGTACACATATTATAATGTAGTGTTTAGATAGCACAGCAGTTAGCAAATGGCACTTTTTCTCTATTTGCATGCGGAGTGCTGAATTGAGTAAAGCTATAAATATAAAGAATATTAACTCACAATAAATATTCGAGGTGTAAAAAGGTTTATTTTTAAACGGCTATACTAATAATAAATTTATTGATGAATGTAAAACAATACCACAATGACAGTCAACTCGGGGTCGACTGACGAATGCTTGACTGTACAAGTTCATGTCTGTTTGTACTTTCTCATATCTTAAGTCATGGCAACATTGGAAAAAAAATCTGTTGAAAGCATAATTCTTGTTGACTTTCTTTATAGCGTGAGAGGGCACGAAAAAAATATTTTTACAAAAGCATAAACTTTATTAGACACGTTGCTTGATATAGTTTCCAAGACAAAGGTCTGTTCAAAATGTAAAGGAGAGAACATTCAAACGAAAAGATATCTGAGCAATGTTTTCATGTTTGTCATGCGGGGATTCTGAATTTACCCAACGGAAACGCATCGGCTTTTTAAGCTATTGCCGATACTTTTGTTTGTCAACACAATATGGGATGAAGTCCACATTCAATCGGTGTTAAGTGATGAAAATGTCAGGGAGGCCAGCATTTGTTATCAGTCATAACATATCTACTGCTTTACACATTATAATTATACAACTACCTCCTTTATCTACCACAAACAAGTTTGGTTAATTGATGATATGATTTATTTTTTCAACACAAAACTTAAGCTGATATAAGATTTTCGCTTCCAAATGTAATCATACACTAAACATGTTATCATCAAGTTAAACAATTTCAGAATTTCAGACGTTTTTTAATCGGAATGCTTATAGCTATTGTTTCTGGCTGTTCATGTACGCTCTCTATGAAAGGCTACAGGAGTTCAGCTTCTATACTGAGCAATATTTTGAACCCAAAATTATTTTTTCCGAAAGAATATGCGTTCGAGTATAAAGCGAAGGGGAGGCTATACACTGTACTAAATTTGTTTTATGCATAACTTGTTGTAACCGTACAAACTCGTCGTGGAAATGAATCATATAGTTTGCTTTTATTAGAAGTTAGTGAGAAAAGGGGCTCTTTATATTTTTATCGTGGTTTGACTCATTATAAACGAGTTTCAATTCGTAAAGAGAAATTGAAAATTTAGTGTCATGAAAGAGGTTATAATCACCATAATTTGCTATATGACTGAGTTTGCATTTTAGCTTTAAAAGCACACAGGTAGCTGAATGCACACAAAAACTGCTATATATTCATTTTCACTTAATATTTATAAATGATTATAAACAGTTTCCATATCCATTGACAGCAAACAATAAAAATATAAGCGAAATATTCCTGCTTTAGAAAGCGAGATGACAATTTTCGATTTTGTTATCCTTTATACACTGGTACGTAAATGTGCCATAAGTAATAAATAGTATCTCTATACGTTTATAAAAAAAGATAAGCCTAATTTACCTTTCATCAAATCGAAGGTGTTAAGCGCCTTACGAAAGTTTGTATCTGTAGATAACAACTTCAATGTGTTAGCTAAGTATAAACGTCAAGTACGCACTAATACGAAATGAACATCTGTATGGCAAGGCCAATCATGTCTTTGGAAAGAAACATTGTTGCTAAGCGAAACATAGCTGAAATGAAACTGGGAATTGATGAATTTTAGTAGCTATGGTGCCAATTAGGTAAATAAAAAGCCGTTCATTACTACGTGCGCAATGCAGACGATGTTTCTCGTTGACTACGCTCGTAATTGATGATATGTACGGGAGTAGGCTGGGTAATACTTATCACGGATACTGGGTAGCTTTCAAATTCTCAGCTTGGGGTTTACGAAAACTTTACTTGTAAATTTGATTTATTCTTACTCGTCTATCACGTCTATATTGACATAATCAGCTTGATTGGGCGGAGATTTTCAATTGGTAAATTTATCTAACGGTTCCCTTGCCGTTTTGCGACACGACGAGCCGCGAGCGAAGCATCTGAATGTTCCAGACGGGAAATATATCGCGCATATTCTCAAAACCGCGCTATTTTACAAACGCTGTTGTCTAAAATTACTGGCTGTTTGTTGCTTTCAAATTGAATATCTATATGCGGGCAATTAACATTGTTGAAATATATGCCTTTTAAGCGTTTTTGCTCGTAAGGGAATTGTGAATTTTTTAATCATTTTTTCGCAAAATGAGCAGAACTGATGTCGCTGTCGCGAACTCTTCTCATTTAGCATGCTTGTGGCTCCACAGGAGATCACAAGGCTAAAAAGACAATTAAAATTCGGTTAAGAAAGGATGCGGGCCACTCGTTGAAAGTACTTACGGGTGCTTGACTTTGAATACGCATATATTGCTGTCTGAAGAAAAAACCGCTTCTTATGTGCAGACGGTAAGCAGAGTTGACTGCAAAGTGCCATCTTAAGGTTAACTGGCATTTTCTATACGTGATAAAATCCAGTTGGTGGAAATACAGATGAGTAGAAAACAATACACGTCGGTGAATTGCAAGCTTGTCACGAAATGTGAATAATTAACGAGGCGTATGCTGTGCCTTGTGATGAATAATGATTGGCTGGACACGACATCCGTTCAATATGCCAATCATTAAATAGCAAGTTATGTTTTGAAACGCTCACGCTGTGCACTAACACTGGGAATTGCAGATGTTTTGAAAGAGGTGAACCTACATTCTAGCTTCATTTTCTCACAAACCTTGGAAATAAAAACATCACGCAGAGCGACGAACCACTTGGCGTATCCAGTAGCAAGTACTCTGGGTGAGTATAGCTCACTCTTAGACATCAAGACACCTGATCAGCAAGATCTTGTCTCATGCGAAGAAGTGTACAAACCAAATTATTAAGAAACAGCTTGTCCGAAAGCCAAAACACGGCGGGTAAACTACTTTACATTGACATCGAGTTAGCGATCGAACGTCCGTGAGCTAGGAGATAATTATACTAAATCCTCACGCAAAAGCAAACATATTATGTCGATTGCTCATCAACGCACAATCGTATCAACGAATCACGCGACCGCGCCGTCGTATCCAGAACGACGTACTTCGCATGAGTTTATATATGCTCCAGAAACTATCGCATCCCAACCAACATCATCCAACCCGCCATCAAGGAATGATGCTCGAAGTGTTGGAGTCAAACACAACTATCCACCGTCGCACAGTATGTTCACGACAGGTCCTGTACCAAATTTCTCTCTTAACCCGATAAACGACCGCTACGATAATACACCGCCGCCACCACCACCAAGCCATGGTTTCTTTCCATTACATGAGGCGACACCACATCATCCTATGCAGAGTATCAATGGCTATGGTAATCCTGGTTATAGAATGGCGCATGGAGGCTATAACGATTACTATGGCAGAGATGAGAAACCTGACAGTATTCAATACCCTGGACCGTTTTCAAACCATTTTCTACCGGCCTTTGCTCAACCACCATTTCCATATCCACCACCGGGAAGGCAAGTATTGAATCAAGTGATAGTTTGCCAATGGGTCGAACCGAATGCCAAAGGGAAACCTTGCGGCAAGCAGTTTTTCCGTATGCACGACATTGTCACACATCTGAGTGAGGATCATGTTGGAGGACCTGAGATTACAACTCATGTCTGTCTATGGAAAGGTTGTGTACGTAATGGGCTTCCTTTCAAAGCAAAGTACAAACTAATTAATCATATACGAGTTCATACAGGAGAAAAGCCGTTTCCCTGTCCTTTCCCTGGTTGTGGCAAGCTCTTTGCTAGATCAGAAAATCTCAAGATACACAAGCGTACTCATACTGGCGAGAAGCCGTTTGTTTGCGAATATCCAGGGTGTGATAGACGTTTTGCAAATTCGAGTGATCGTAAGAAACATTCTCACGTTCACACGTCTGATAAACCGTACATTTGTAAGGTTGATGGATGCAACAAAAGCTACACACATCCTAGTTCGCTGAGGAAGCATATGAAACTTCATCTAAAGGCGAACGATCCTTGCAAAACGATGACAAAAGATGAAAAGCCTTCTATCTCAACAATTCAACATTTTCAACCGAACCCAAACTATCCCCCAATGACAGAATGGTACACACGCTTTCCTCCAGCTAGTGGAATAAACCAACATGACTTTGACAACTCAGTATGTATCACAAGGGCATCTGTCTATTAACACTACGGCGTTCTACATAGGACGTAAATTACTTGTATTGCCTCATACGTGTGAGTCAAGACGTGTGTATTCATTTTGAAAATCGCAAATATCGAAAGAGAATGATGTGAATTCCTTCAAACTATTATGATGTGTTTTGAAAATTACCAAACAAAGACAATTTTTGAACTGTGCCAAGCAAACTTCTTGACATAAATAGATTTACCCGGAAATCTTTTGAGAGTTTGCCTGCCATAATGACGGACGGTCGAAAGCATATAAATATAATCGGAAGATATCAAAGTTGCAATGAAATTGGAAAATTTGTGACACTTTTGGGGTAAGATCAGACCATAACATCTGATTCTATTATAAAAACAATATCATTGCAACATGAACACATATTTTGTAAAATTGTACAATATTAACTGTTGATAATTTATACGTCTTAAAATATATCACTTGCAGCGTACACTTACTCTACAATATGTCTTATAGATTACTTTGCCCTTTCTTTTTATTTGAACAGACTCCTTTCACAATGAACTATTTTACATTTTGTCCTATGCCCTTCCTTGTCTGATTCATTCATAAACTGCTTATAATATTAGTTTTGACTGAATATAACAATTTTGATTTTCGCTTCTCTACTCATTCAAGTATTTGTCATAAAATGTGTACATGCAACCCGAAAGCTGTCGCATATGAAATTCTCAAAGTAGAATTATCGTGTGACTGTCATGTCTGCGATTTTAGCAACTGTCGTACGTGCTCCGTTTTAAATCGAGTCGAGAAATAAAACATTATGTAGAATAAAGTAACGTGCTGCTAAAATGGCTCCCTTGCAGATAAAGCTGACAGTTGGTGTCGCAATTACGCGGAATGTAATGATCTACAAATATGCTCAACATCTTGGTTTATCCTCAGCATTGTGTTTTCGTCACTTTGTTCACATTATGCTTTCTACATCAGAGAATTAACAACTCCAAAAACTATTGCTAACATTAATTAAGATGCTTCTGCAGTGGAAAACAACTTTTTGTCGAAATTTCTATTGAAGCACAATTATTTTTTGCTTATGTTATGCTCTTAACACTAACTAATGCCGGCGTTATCTCATTTCGGCAATTGTTTTATCGCCAGATCATACCGAGATAGATTCGACTGCAGTTTTACTAACTGAATCGATGTCAAGTTAAGATCGGCGTTCTCTGTTGGATGTGATATGACTAACCTCCCACAACACAAATTACCAGTATATTTTATCGTTGTATATATTATACACACACACATATTAAAATATGGCAAAAGTGTGAAAAGCCTCGTCGTAGATTTCGAGCTATTAAATTGTTTATATATAAATTCTGTTTCAACATAATAACCTCGCTAATCTGTTTGCAAATCTAAGGAATAAGTCAATACCTTTGATGTAGATATGTAGCTATTAATAATAACACAACAATTCAGTCGTGGATTATAATAAATGAAATTGGTTTGCAAAAATTTGTTTGCGGCAATATCGCGAAATTTACATTTGTTATTAAAAATTAGAACGCGTTCATTTCATTAGAGAACATTTTCAATGCGCAAATCTTGTGATATTGTGCTTATGAAAGCAACAACTAGCGTGTTTCAAAACAAAGATTTGTTTGCGCGCTCTTCATACTAACAATTGTTCTGCAAAACAAATCGTGCTCTTTAGACTAACGTCATGAGAACGAATCTTGCTTTTATTATGACTGAATGATGTAAAAAAGCCACAATTTCAAATAAATGTACGCATCTATGATTTATTATTAATACAAAAAACGAAGAATTTTTATTATATTATATTATTTTTTTTCTCTCAAGTCTAACATGAATAACCAAAACTTAGACAATGATAGATACAACTTTTTGCTTGAATTTCAAACAATTGGAATGTCGTGCTTGTTTCGTGTAATGTAATCAATTAGCTTTGAAAAGCTCAAATAGACGTGTTTTCTATGTTATCGCCAGATGAGTGGTCCCCTTGCCAACATTTGTTCTTCTATCCTTCACTCAATGCGCTTGCCATACAATTTTGCTTTACATTTGGCATATGCGGAACTTTGGGTTCAATAGGTTTGTCGCAAGCTGTTCAACTAAGCTATAGCTACACAGCGTTAGAACGACTCGGCAAATCATACTTCTTCATCCCTGACAATATCATAGCTTAAATTTCCATTGCACTGTCTTTAAACTACGTACAAACGCATGGAAATTTATCTAATGACATATTTATCGTTAAATTGTGTGTAACAGTGTGTCGTGTACACACTTATCACAGCATCCTGCCTAGATCCACCTCAAGAAACTGCCTGCCACGAATGTGCCAGACTGTTTTATTTGTTCATTTATCGTTAACTATAAGAAATAGATTTGTCATCTAAACAACAAAAGCCCGAATGAAATCCGTGTTTTTGTTTGTCAACGAGTTCATACTATATGTTTAACTCGCTGACATTAGCATTCGTGTTTTAGATGTGAAGAGCAAACATTGTCAACGTGTGAATAGGTTTACGTATTGTACAATAAAACTGTCGGCAAATAAATAAAAGCAGATAATGTGTAGATGGCTATTTCACGCTCGGATTACACCCACGCACAATCGTTGTGGGAATAAATATTTACTGCCTCGTTTTGTTGATTGGCACTACTGCATTAAGTAAATAAAATGTGATGAAATTGAATTGGATGTATGTTTAGGATTCTATCGTACATCACATTATTGGCACAGGTTAGTCGAATGAGCCGCTTGTGGAAGCCCAACTGAGTTTTAGCGTAATATCATTGTGGTTTTGCTGTAACACAACATGGTGCAATGAAGTTAAATATCTTAAAACGAAAACCTATGATATTTATTTGTAACTCAAAACGTTCAACTCGGGGAACAGAGACTTATATTTTTTTTAAAAAAATTTTCATCGCTCAGTTGTTAGCAAATCCATCGCGTGCTTCTAGAAAGTGCTTTCTTTATTAAAAAATAAATATAGCTTAGCCTTTAGAAAAATTCTATAATACATTGGGCGTTATTATTACAGATCAAAGGGAAACCGCAAGTTGCCTTTTTTTATTAAGATAGATCAGAGTGCTGTTGTGAGATGCCGCTCATGTGTAGACAAATGCTAATTTTTTACAGTTGTCCTTCTACATGCATTAAGTGGTCTAATAGGTAAATTTTTTCTGCGAACAGACGGAGAAGATGCGTGTATCTATGTATTATTATGTTGATGTGTGTTCAAGGGAAAGATGCATTTGTTTATATGTGTAACAAACTAACAATCGACACATCTTTTACAAGGAAATGATTCAGCTTTTATAGCATAAGGAGCAAATATATCATTTAAATGGTTCATAAGTACCATGAAATTACAAGTTTTACTAACGTACGCAGAAAGCGCTACTGGATCAATATAAAATTGTTATTAAATCATCTTTTCCATTTTTGTCTATGCATTCATTCGTTGAAAGTATCCATGGAAGTATCGATAAATATCAATAATTTGTTCAGTTTCTCCACTTGCTTAAACATTCTTTTTAATGCTAGTCTTATTTCACGATATCGCCGAATCAGAAACTATTATAGATTACCGCTGCTGGGGAGCCCTATTCGATGCGTGAGGTAATTTTACATGTAATTGTGAAAAGAATTGGACTTTCACTCCGCTAAAAATATAGGTTTTCGTCAACGCTTGTTGTTTAACGAACGCTTCTGCGGATACTTGTATGATTATTTAGTATAATAATGCCAAAATACTAACTTAAAAACATTCTTGAAGTGCGAGGAAAATGTTGTTGTGAGATTGACTGGTGAGGAGCATTTAAAGTGTAACAATTATGCGAACTGTGCGTCTGTTGACATTGCATGTAGTCTCAGCCTGCCGGAATAAAATGTAAAATCGGTTTGCCAAGAAGTAAATCATACAAGCACTTCATTGGATGTTTGGTACTCAAGTAAGTACCCCAAATTTCAAGATTATTTTACCGAAACAATTATGATGCAAGAATTCGACTACGCATCTTAAATTGATGCCATTCATTCATGGTAAAGGCTGAAAGGAAAAACCCAGCTCGGATGAATCATAGTATCTCACATCATTGCTAGAAAAGTGACCTTGAGTGTGTTTACGTGTTGGCTACGAGTGTTTTTCGAGGCTAAGTGTTACACGAATAATGTCCGTTATGTCAAACTCCGATATTTAACGCAGGAAACAGTAACTTAAATAGAATGAAAAACCGAGGAATTAATATCGCTGGACATCTCGAAGAGGAAGTTTGCCGAAAAATTTTATCAGCAGCGTTCGTTGTTTGTATTGGGCGTGGTGATATTCGTCTAACAATCAAAATTTATACCTAAATCTTAATTCTTTTCCTTGTTCCTCAGAAGCTTCTAGAGCTTTCTTCGTATCTAAAATAAACACATACTGGTTTCCATGTATTGACTGAAATATTTTCTTTTCCAAGCTTTAAATCGTACAAATCACTCGCTTTGCCTTCGCGACAACGTACAGCGTTTGAAATTGTTGTATGCGCAAAAAAGCGTTAAGATCTGCGCAATCGAGTTTAATAGAATTGTATGATATCGTATAGCTTAGCTCGAAATCATAGTCGAACAGAGAGCTATTTCAACATACAAAGAGACAAAATGCATAACCATATATGTCATACTAGAAAGTACAACAAATAAATAGTTGAAGGTCAAGGTTTTGACTATTGTTAAAGTTTGCAATGATATTGATATAACTTAATTAAGTGCATTGTTAGTATTGGACCTCGTCTGATACACAAGCAATCATCTTCCTTTTCCCCTGTTGGTTAAATGCAGATATAGATGAAGGTTGCAATTCCTGACAACGTGTTCAAAACAATGGCATTAATTGCTTGTTGTACACTGTTTTCCATTCAACTAAGAAAAAGCAATGTAATGTCCAGATATAGAAATAAAAGTAAAATGCAACATGCTTAAAGTTTTGTGGACGTTGCTTGCAATGATATGATTTTCATATGAAGTTTTATTTGAATAATCGAGCACACAAATGATTGAATTTCAATAGTCAACTGAAATCGCTTATGTTTCTAGCTGTGGCAACATATGGAGTTGATTGTAAATAACTCAAACTATAGAACAAAGACTTGGTTGTGATAAAAAACCAAAATATTGCTCTGAACATCGTATTTGTCGTAGTGAATGACAACTGAGTATTTATTTAAGGACGTGTTAAAAACCAAAAGTAAAGATAGATAGAAACGACACGATGCATTTCGGCGGACTTCTGATCAGGTGACCCCGTTTGCTTTCACGAAAACCAAAAAGCTTCTCTTTATATTGAAGAGAAGAAAGAATGACATCACTCCCAAATGAAGAGATGACCTTCAAAACATACAGTAATATAGTAAATAGCAATCGTATATCTTGTCGTTGTGCAAACACCATTTGTACTATCACAGGAAACGCAATGTACATTATTTGGAAGGAGAAATAGTACCATGCTCAGTATTGACATCATGGCAACTAGATTTTATAAAATGACATGTCATCTCGGTAATCTGGCTTTTCTTAACAAGAGTTTTGCGAACAAAAGTCTATATGCTCAATAAATAACCCGTCGTAATCATGTTATACAAAATATCATTTTAGTCATAGCATTTGTAATAAACAGGTAGCTAACATTTAAATGCAGCTGAGTGCGTGAGTCGCTCTGACGAATGGATGAAATGGGTTCTGTTCTTTTAGTGAAGTTCTGAAGGTTGATGATCTTCATTCAATCTACGCATTTGGTCCCCAGCTGCACGAGCATAAATACGCCATAGAGTTAGGGTTGGGATTATTAATTGCTTAATAGCTATAAGATTGTTGTAACTGTACTTGTCAAGATGTCGTGTGGTCTTCGATCATGTGCATAGTGTTCTTCCTGGTAGTTGGTCAACGTGTTGAGCAATATAGTGTATTGATGTGAGGCTTCACAACTGGAGATCTTTCTCTTTACACACTTCCTTACATCGATTATGTACATATGCTTAACAAGTTGGCAAAGTTCAACCTGTTGATATTTCATTCTCTGTGTTGTAGGAGCGTATAGACAGATGGCTTTTGTACATATAATATCGACGCGTAAATTCATTTCATGAATGCATCGTAGAAAAGTTTTAGTGTTCTATTACAAACACTTTCTATGTACAATATATAATAGTAATAATAACCTGTCTAGTGTGGTTAGTGGTCGAGAAATGTATCAAGAATTACTTGCTTAACTTTTCCGATTTTTCACTATGTTCAAAGCAAGCATTAACCACATGTATATGCTGACAAATAATGGTGTTTATCGTATATTTAAATTTCACACATGGTTCATTCATTGAAAAATATAAACTAAATAAAACAACGAAGGATATCTGCATGTGGAAGGTAAATTTCATACACTAGATTGAGGCAGCGTTTTCTTGCATCATTGACTAGAAGAATCGTGTAAGCATCATTTGTATTCTCTCGATTCTATAGGCATATGTGTGTAATCTCTTTTAGGTTTGGACATGCGTCATAACTCAGACGTGCATTGTTTCTTACTTTGAATGTCTGTGTCGTCAAATAAACATACTAGCTGATACTCAAATGCTTTTATTCAAATCTAAGCAACAAATTCAAACAACATTAGTGAATTTGATAAATCTGAAATTAGTTGTGAAATGTTTAGTTGAAATCTTTTAATGAAAGTCTTGTGATTCAATGGGAAATTAAGAAAATCATCCTGCAATGAATGTGTTTACCAATCATTCAACTCTTAAGTATTGTTTTGTTCATAAAAAAATATTTTTAAAGCTAACATGCCACCGATGCTAACGTATATGAGAGGAATGTCAAGTGTCGCCATATATGGAATAGCACCTATAAAGAAACTATATTTTTAGATTCATTTAATGCGCTGAATTGCTCTTTTTCCAACTATGTTTTTTCCTGGTGTGAGGTCCTTTTTGTGAATAAAGCCATTTTGTTTTTGTATTTGCTCTGTTTTCAATAGAAAACTATGTCTCAGTTTGATACCACAATGTCCTGCTATTCTTCATGTTGTTACTAACATTCAGTCGCAAAGTCCACCCCACTTTACCTTCTTTTCTCATCAATTTGACAACATGACGTCTATTAGTCACACAGCTTGACAAACGGAATGATCTCTTACATATCACATAGATTACCTTGACACTCATGAATCTTTCTTTTTCATTTGCGGTTTCGTAATTTCTTCATGCATCTTATACTAATTTGGCAAATAAAGAAATGAAGGAAGAAAATGAAAAATAAGTTTTATTTATAGAGTTTTCAATCAAGTGCATGCAGCTGGAAGCTAGCGCGTAAACAGCATTTCGAAACAATATCGTTTTCAATAAATAATTTCAAAGACATTTATAAATGTATGGCTCTTTGAATTTCTTCCTTAACCATGAACTAAAACTCGCGGCAAACAAGAAAGCCGGAAAAATATAACTTTATTCTTAATAATATTTTTGGTGTTATAAATGACTATTTTTGTAAGAAAATTTGATTTTTCACATGTAATTTTTTGGATATATCAGTCGTGTGTCTTTTGACGTTTTCCTTTGTCTAACTTTCCTAACTTGTAATGGTAATGAAAATTACAATAATCTAACTCTCGAAGCATTTTCATAACTTCATAAATGCTAGCCATTGATAATAAAATGTATTTTAACAGAGCCATTAATTTAGTATTATACTTAATCATTACTTCTCAAACTCATCTCAAAAACAAACAAAGTAAAGGCACAATTTGGTTTATCTTATAAGATTATAGTGCGATGAGATCCAATGCCGAGACAAGTAAGTGACTGAACTTTTTGAATGCTGACCTATATGTGTCAGTATGTGGTCACGTGGAATTCACGCTGGACCTATTGAAAGAAAAGGATAATGTAATTTGACGATGAATTTTGAAGACAGCGCTTGGACCACAGATAGAGAGAGAAAGAGAAAACTGATGTGTGATTATATAATAGCCTCTTTCAGTAACAGTTTTACTCTAAAACTCAGTGTCCACAGAGCACATTTCTTTCCCAAGACGCTTGATTTCTTAAAACTAAGTAAAATTCTCTGCTGTGAATTTTTTAGGAAGAAGATGGCAGCCAAATATCTTTGTTAAAAATGAAATCATGTTTAAAATTGCAGATATTTTCAATATTTTCAAATACTCTCTCCCCTCACGAGACTTATATCTTATTGTTTCTACTCTACAGAATGATTAAATTTGCTGTGATAATCTGTTATAATTATAGCATTAATGGTAAATTCTACATGACTACTCGACAGTAACCCCAACATGTTTTCCCTCGTTTTTTATCAATTTACAATAAATTGAAAATCAGTATGGTGAGTTTTGTTCTTCCTTGTGTTAACATGAGCTCTGAAAAACGTGCACACGTTTGCAATGGCCATTTAGTGTAGAACAAGTTATGATCGTCGAGAAAATGAGGTAAAAACTCAGTCCTCAGGTGCATACACACTCTCGTGCGATTAAATAACCAAAGAAATTTCACCAGCAAGAAATTTTGCCACACGTCGAGTATTGTTCTATGTAGACCAGCGTATGCATGATAAAACGTCAAGGTAGCCGACATAGAAATTACCTCCATTTCAGTAAAAATTGGGGCAAACCATGCAGCTGCATTCTCTGCCTACCTTAATGTATGATATGTATGAAATACATGATGACAATTTGCCATGTTGAAATGAATGATTCGAGTATAAAACCATTTCCATTTTATGATTCGAGTATAAAACCATTTTATGTTTGCCGCTTATTGTCTGGGGCTTAAGTCCTGTAATAGCCATGTTTTATTGTCCATTGTATTTCAAATTAACTGAAAGCCATTGACAGTATAAAAAATATGGAAAACATAGTATCGTTACACTTCTTACTTTATTTGCATGCATTATCAAAGAAGAAAAAACTATTTCCTGGAGACAAAAAATCTGAAAGATCATAAGTACTTGAAAATTGTTACAATCATAATTAAAAGTGTTTGGGATGTCAACCTTTTCCTCGAATCCAAAAGGTGTCCTCAGAAAAAGTTCAATCTGTAAATAATAAAGATGAAGTTAAGACCGTACATTGTTTCCAAGGTAATTCAATATAACAAAAACTAGACCATTTTTGCCCTGTCATATATGAAGTATTCTGATGACATTGTTTAAACCAATGAGAATGCATAACAAGCGACCGTGATCCAAACAATGCGACCATATTTGAAACTTACAATTCATTTTGTGAGATGCACATTCCATCGATGCATTTCAAACCAACACTACATTTTCCTCTGAAATCCCACTTTCCACCACAACTCTCGCCTTCAGCTTTAGCGCAAACATTGCAACACGTACAACCATTCTTGACAATACCACCCTTACATCCTTCAACCGGTTCACATTTGTATGGTTTGGAACAGTCTCTGCATTTGGAAGGTTGGGTTAGAGCAGGATTGAGCGCAACCACAAACAAAACGAAAAACAGCATTAACAAGTTCATTCTCTGAAACAGAAAAATGCAAATTAAGAAGTAATTGGATTCATGATTGCATTGGTCTTATGGAGTCACCAAAGGGTACTTAGTATGTTGAACTAAGCTGAAATCAGCTAATATTAATTTAAAAGTCACCTTCTTCAAATTGAGGGGTGGTGTAAATAAAGTTAGAGAGGAATTAAAAGGTCGTGCGTGTAGTTAGAGTGTTATTGTGTCTTATTCCCAGACGTTATTGCTGCCCTTTTAGTGTAAAATCGAATTGCATGCACTAGCTTATACAAACAGAATCCCAAATAAATCCCCTCCACTCAAATATAATCAATTCTAATAAACGCTTGAATGCTCTTCCTGTTTGCATACTCATATTCGCAAAATATATTTGTCGATATATGTTGTGAGTCGTGACTGGCTTTTACTTTCTCCAACCATGTTTTGTGCCTCATTGCAAACTTTGAAATGCAATTTTAATGTAATTTACGAACAACTGAGCCGCTAATTTTGAATCTGTTTGTATCGTGTAACAGTGATTTTAAGAAACGTGAATCAACTAATTCACGTGAAGCAGATGATGCAAATTTTAAACGCCAAAATCTTTAAACTGAACAGCGATCCAGTTCAAGCTATAGAAGACCATTATATTGTAGATTTCGTTAAATTTGACTGTATTGCGTATTGATTTGGTTGATTTACTTACGTTATATTCCTGCTAAATCAAATAAAAATCTTGATTCGAATTGACTTCAATCAGTCGTTTTTTGCATTTTAAAACATAGCACATATTTAACTAATTAAGTTGCAAATAGGTAAAATCTTGCAAACGAGCGACATGAAGTACAAAATACTCGCAATTTTTAATTTTTTACCATGTATTACAAATCAGTGTGTACACAAAGCAGCGCCACATCATCACACCTCTTGTTGACGCTGACGTCAGCGTACTTTAATCTTATATTTGTAATGTCGACAAATAAGGGAGTAAGCAAGTCTGTTTGTTTTCTTTTCTCGATAGTATGTTATTATGAACATGTTACTAAATAAAATAAACTAAAGTGAATAATTTATTTCAGCACGACAATAATAACCTTGAGGAACAAAATCTCTGCTGTAAATATTAAGTTCCAAGCACAAATAACCAATTATTATAATGCTTCCAGAGGCATTTAACCAAAATATAGTTCACTCACCGTAATTTTTAAACGAAATTCGAAAAATACCACAAATCTCGCTCTGTACGACCAACGTTGTTGAATTCACAAGGTTCGCTACTAAAATGATAAATAACTATGTGGCATAAGAGTTTTTAAGATAGCTTCAGCATTAGAACAATCGACATGATGAAGGAAACCAATTACGATTCTCAAAATGGTATGCAATTGTTAAGTTAATTGTGATCAAAGTAACGATGCATTTATATGTGCACAATACACTCAGGTTGTTTGACTACTATTGAAATTCAGGCTTCTATAGCAGGCTGAAATAACTGTTTGGCTACTTTCCTTTTGCGAGTTTTTGAAGCACTTGAAAATTTTACCTTCATATTCCTCATTGAAGTTTTGAAAATTTTCATTGATGCATCAAAATTTAAGACATGGCTTCTTAATAATTTGATAAATTTACCGTAGGACAATGACACTTCGCAAAAAACAACAAATGTCATCTTTACATTGATTAATGTAGTGTAATGTATTTTGGTGCTAGAATTTAAAACTATACGTATGGAAGATTACCTACAGATACAATTCTTATGAAGTTAGAGTATTGAATCCATCCGGTTGCAGGGTGTTTTAGTACATATATGTTCTGCCTTATTGATCTCTGCTGAATTTAATTGTTGAATATCGATGCTTAAATTGTTTAAAGTTGTCCAGTGCATGGCCAGGGAAGTTAATAAAGAAGATACCATTTTTGGAATATTTGAACTACACTTAACCAGTCGCCTGGTTGCTTCGACTGGACAGCCAAGAGATGACGATGCGAGCACTAAAAGTGCGATATTTCAAGGGCAGATTTTTATTAGATGTGTCATTAAGTGACAATAATTGTATTCAAATCTGTCTTATCGACATATTGACGCTCAAAGATTGCTGTTTATCATTTTGACTTTGCTATATGCCAGTTCACAAGAAGCAAACAAGCAATTATGGCTAGGGTTGTATAAAATTGGATTCGTTGTCCGCCATATTCTCTCATTTATCTTCACATTTAAAACTCGCAAAATTGGCGAGGAAACTGCGGTAACTGCGCTGGGACACGCCCTACACAAAACAAAATTGGAATCCAATCAAAATTTTGTGCGTTCACGCCACCGCTCTTGCGCCAACACAGAAATTGGTAGGAATGCTTCAAAATGTCAGATCATTTTTTTCAATGTTGCATTTTTGTATGACTCGAAATTATATTTTGAATCAGCATATCATATATTTAAAAATTTAATACCCGTTGACAGCAGTGACACGGACAATACGTCTGCGGACACTAGAGCACAATCCCTGAAACACACATTTATGCGACATAGGCTCAAAATTAGTTGCAATTAACCACTATTTCGGCGTAAACACTAATTCGTTGCCTTTTGTTTGTTTGGGCTGTAATGATATTTCTGATTTCTATTCAACACCTCACAAATATTGATTCCCACAACTATTTAAATATTTAGCCATTAGCCCGATATGGTTTCAACAATTTTTGATTGTATCATTGAAAAAATTAAATGTGTAATAATTAACATTAATTGCCACTTGACCGATAGTCTCCGTGGCGCAATCGGTTAGCGCGTTCGGCTGTTAACCGAAAGGTTGGTGGTTCAAGCCCACCCGGGGACGATCTTCTTTTCCATTTTATCTTTTCATTTATAAAAGCTTCTGTCGTTAAACATTACTAGCAAACAAACATGGTTCAAAAGAATAATAAAAAATTTTTCAAACTTTAGCCAAGAGGAGGCAAACATAAAAAATTGAAAATTGTGTTGCTTTCTTAACCTTCGACATGCCTGCGTTCAGGCTAATGCTAAAAGTTAATTGCTTCATCGTTGAGTGTAAATTATAAATGAACGATTTTTGTGAGAAAATTTATTGCCAGCACGTACAATTATATCACTATTCATCTTTTCAAGAAACATACGAGTGCAGAAAGTTACAAGTTACAAGAATTTAGCAAATATGACCTTTTTTCTAAGACGTCATGAAAATGTCGTAAAATGGCTTGATATGCCCATATATGGATTTTCAATTTCAATACACGTCAATTTTACCCTGTGTTTGCGCAAGTATTGCTAACATGTCAAACACATATAAATTGGCAGCAAATACGTATTTCCATACTACCCTTTTTGTATTCATAACATACTGATTTGAAAGAATTGTGATCGATTTATCTTTTACCTGCTATGCCATTTTACAAGCACAAGCGTTAAAAAGGTCAAACTATGAGCAAAGTGCATGTTCATTGTTTAATTACTCTAAAAAAGACTACTCTCTACAATGCATAGTTATTCATTTCACTATCCTTGATAATACTACCCTTGACAGCACTATCCTTGATAGTACTTTCCCTATCTTTGATAGCACTATCCTTGATGGTATCCTTGATATCCTTGACATATATACAAGGTTGCTATTCACTGAAGATGAGTTTTATTCACTGTATAAGCTACACTCCCTTTGCGCTACCTGCTATTAAAAAAATAACAATTAGCATTTATGAACCATTACACGACTTTCCTCATTTCAAAGCACTCCTCTGATAGTCGTTGTGTTAAATTTCTTTGAAAATATATGCAAGCCTCCTGCACATTATAAAGATAATATAGCAAAGGATAAAGGATTTAATTTTCCAATATTGATGACATTGCTTTGTGGACCTGTCTGACACCAAAGACAATGACCGAATGAAAACAATCTTCTACTTACCAACTACATACCCGATTTTTTTCCTCGTTGCAGCACCGAAAGTAATAATCCAAACAACTGAACTGGCCCCATTGGCCAATTACGTCAGCCAATCCACAAGATTTTTAGAGAATTCAGAATAGGTTTTAACCTCTTAAAAATGCTTATTTTTACAGGTAAATGTGGTGGTGTTTATCCATGTGTTCAAGCGTTTACTGGAATAAGGGTGTGTAGCAAAAAAACTTTTCCGAATTTAATTTGAATGATTTGTAAGTCTCGGAGAATTGACACATTTCACACATTTAAAATCTGTAAACTATTGAATTTCATGATTTCTCGTTAAAATGTTCTCGCATGTCGCAACTAATGGAATCGAAATTGCTCATTGCAGCTTTTCTATCAAAACTGTGACACTGAGACAATCCTACACAACATTGCTAAGTTGCATGACACAAAACTACATAATAAAAATACACAAATAATTTTATAATTTAAAATATCATCGAGCAGCTTTGTCTTCAACATACTCGCCTATACAATAATGCATACACAAAGAGAGTCGCTATACGAAACTTCATCATGGAATAACGTGTTAAAGCTTGTAGACTTTATACGCAAGAAAGAGCAGCTTATACGGTGCATTATATTTATCAGGTCAGCATTAGGCAAAGTTTCGAAAATACTCCTTTGCATCAAGCAGGGTAATTTAAATTTAGATATACGATGCGACAGACTCATGTTGATTTTTTGACATGATTGGTATAACACGGGAAGCATGATAATTAATTCAAAACAAATTATCTTTGGCTCCTCCTCATTTCAACCCCTTGTGGGTCGAATTAATGAATGGATTTGCTTGTTCAAAAAATTTATGTTAGTTTTATGTCACAGTTACAATTCAGTCGTGGACTATTGTTTTCAATTGTGTTTGCTGTGCATGGAGTTTGTGAATAAATATCTTTCCTGATTGACTATTCAGAACGTGAATACTGATTGTTCCCGTGAAGGCGTATACCTTGTCAACAAACAACAAGCCATGTTTTTATATGATAAGTCTTGATGAGTCAAAGCGTCATAACTTATGCAAACAGACATGATTTTTCAATTTAAACAACTACTTTACCAGAAGTATGGTTGCAAGATTGACGAAATCATAGTCGTTTATCTATTATCTGAACGGAAATATTTTATGTATTCTCACAACTCATCAACATTTGCGTTTAAACTGTTGTTCTGTCTACAATTTTCCGCATTTTTTAAAATTCGTAAGGTAAAGTGAGCCCACGATACATCGAGGAAAATGATAAAATCACTGCAACTGACGATCTATTCAAATGGCAATTTTTATTCAGACATAGGTTTTTCAGCCATATCAGATGATATCACTAAAATATCCCACTTACAGGCGGCATAGCTTATACAGACATCACTGAATCCAATGACCCAGCAGGAGTGTTGATCTTTTAATCATTTCAATGGAAATTATTTGAGTTCCGGTTACTTGACACATGAAAGCTTATTACTGTGTCTAATTAACATCACGTCAGTCGCTCGCCGCGATGATTTTTGCAAAATAATTATACAATGGGATTAATTGTACATGTTCACGATCTAAAATGTTTTCGCTCAAGACATTTAATATTCAGAAAATTTGAAAGTTATATTTTCGAAATTTATTCAGTCTCAAATGCGCCAAAAAATCATATCGACAACGGAGCTATCTCAACTAGTAGACAGACAATAAATTAGGAAATAAGATTAACTTTCAATATTTGCTTTGCAATTTCGATTTAAGACACCTCTTTGAACAAATGTTTTAAATCAAGCCTCGAAAATCCTAGATTTTCCAAATTAAAACTCTTGTTGTGCATTATATCAACAATGAAATGCCGAAAAACTGCAGTGTAACAAGTGAGAATAAAGCGCAACGCTCCGAGGGGGTAAAGTTATTGTAACTTAACATTTAATAATGTATTGTACGCATGCGTCGTGGCAAGGACACGGACTAACCTGCTGGAGCTGCAAAGTGAACACAGATGTTATATGAAGAGTTTAGAAGCAGTAAAATGTCCTTAAAGATAGGCAAGACGTGTTTTGAACAACGTCAAGCGCAACAAGTAATGTTAATGCTCTAAAGGAAAGAACTTCATATACAAAAGTGGTTTTATTTAGCAGAGCACAGTTAAAATTAGAAAATGTGTTAGATTAACTGGCAAGTGCAAGTGTTAAGTGGTTTAAGAGATCAACCTCTGTGGTTTTCTGGATAACAACAGAGTTCGTAGCACCGTGAGACCTCACAGAATGTCAACATACTCAATAAACGGTCACCATTATGCTTCGACCGTAGAGAGCAAGAGTTCTGCTACTCGACCTGAAGGTTATTGTCAATCTGTCTCACCGTATCATACTCTACCATTTACTGCATCTTACGATGCGTATGGATCAAGTCGTGGAGAAAGGAATCACACCAATGATATTCATGCATCCACGAAATCTTTTCTTCCAACATCAGAATCGAATTCGTCAACGTCGCACGGTTGCTTTCAGAACGTTCCTTTGCCAACTACAAACATGATTGGATATCATTTACAAAGTAAGCCACCATACTTTGATCATATTCACGAGAGCATGCATCAGTATCCGTCAGGAGCTTTTAGTTATGATTCTCCAATATCTCATGGACTTACATCTCAGTTGTTTCAACAGCCTTATTTTCCAAACAATACTTCCATGTACAGTCCTCCGTATGAAAATCAAATGTATGATGCCAGCATTGCCCAACATCATCGTGGCTATTTTCCCGTTTTACCGCAACAACAAACTAACGAGATTATGACTTGCCTATGGATTGATCAAGACAAGGGCACGACTGAGGAATGCACGAAAAAGCCATGTCGAAAACAATTTAGGATTTTACAAGATCTTGTAACGCATATATCTGATGAACATGTGTCTATTGGTGATAGCAGTGTCCACGTTTGTTATTGGCAGGACTGCACGAGAAATAGACTTCCTTTCAAAGCAAAATATAAATTAGTGAATCATATACGAGTTCATACTGGAGAGCGCCCATTTCCATGTCGTGTCCCAGGTTGTGGCAAGCTCTTTGCAAGATCAGAAAATCTTAAGATACACAAGCGTACACACACAGGCGAGAAGCCATTCATGTGCGAATATCCTGGATGTGGACGACGTTTTGCGAATTCAAGTGATCGTAAGAAACATTCTCACGTCCACACGTCTGATAAACCGTACAATTGTAAAATTGAGGGATGTAACAAAAGCTACACACATCCTAGCTCGCTGAGGAAGCATATGAAGCTTCATGAAAGTAAAGACAAAATCCCCGTTAACAACAGCAAGACAAGAATTAATATTCTGCAGAGTAAAACTCACTCGACAGTAAAAATGACAAATTCAGAGCATCAAGGCAATCAATATCATGGTATCACAGGCTAAAAATCCACTCTGGAAATCCACATCTCTTCACTCGAAAAAAAATTTATTTTAGCACAAAAATGTGTCAGATTTTGTTTTGACTTGTTATAGCCAAGATTTGGGGATTTCAAGAAAGTAAGGTTGTATATTTAATTTAACCAAACTTTTGCAAGACAGAATATATAATAGAATTTACCAAACAAATGAATTACTGCTTTAATTCTCGTTTTTTAGAATAAAGTTAATCTTATTGTTGAAATATTTTTCATGCGATCAAATATCATGAATCATAACTATTCATTGTAAAAATAGCATGTCCAGTAAATAATATCAACCGACGATTTTTTCATATGAAAATACATCGCTGAAAATAATGTCTGTTCTAGTTGTGAACACGAGCAATATCCAAGTCATCAAAAGCAACCGCAAGCGTTCATTCACACAAGTATTTACAACAGTTTTGTAATGCTTGTCCTTTGTGTAATATATATCTTCTCAGGCATACGTTTTGTCCGATCAGCTTGCTTTTAATTTTTGCTAACTATAGCTAATCCGCTGGAAATGTTTCGAAAGCATTGGTCTTCATAGTCAGCAAAACGACTTTGCTCAATAACAGAATATTTAAACGGTATTGGGTCCCATGTGATGCAGTTTTTAAAAAAATATTGCCAGCTAAATCGCAGAACAAAGCTTTAAAGTTATTTTTGGAAATTCTTCACAATGAAAATAGCCACATCGTACAGAGAGTTGCATAATTTGCATCATTACAATAAAGTTTATTTATGTATATATATGATGCAGAAGAGTAAAAATAAATTGCTTATCGATGAAGTGATCATATAATAAATGCCAATGATCCATCTAATTTACATAAAGTTACATCAATATGTTGACGATGTAAAGAATTAAACGCACAAAGAAGAGCTGTGACAAAATATTGACATTCAGTGTCCGCTATAAGATTCATATATTGCTTTTTTTAAGTTGTTGGTAACAGTTCTATGAAAGAATTGAGCAAATATGTAACATCTCTCCATTTTATATTGGATAAAAGCAATCTTTGAATGAAGAGCACACACTATATCAGTTCAACATGTTCTTTCCAATGACTGAACTTGCTGCAGAGCGAAACCTTGAGCTATCCATTTTCCTTTTTTGTTTAATAATTTGCTTCATAATATTATAAGGGATAAGTCTGCGTTTACACTATACCGGATTTGTTCATCATGACATCTTCATTTGCTTTAAAGGGGTAACTGTTTGGAGTAAAAGCTTATTAAGTTCATAGATTTACTGTACATTTGTTTGTGTTTCTGACGTTGAACAATTTCACTGCATTTTAATACAAAAAAATTTAACCTGCACTATAACCCCAGTATAGTATAAACGGGGCCTAAGTGATCAATGAAGAACATTTACAAAAAGAAAATAAAACGCTTGACCGTCATCAAATTATAATAGGTGGCCTAGTGAATAACATGCCTACTGCTGCATTAAAAGAAAATTATTTGATTCAGTTGGCTTAATTTAAAACAGATTTGAAGTTAAAACAAGCACTTTTGATAAATATATCCTTATGCAAACAGAACATTTTTTTGCGAATTTTCCCGTTCACATGCCCGTAAAGATTTACTATAGGTCGATCAAGGCCAGTCTGCTCACTGCTCTCTTATACCAATACTTTCGATAAGATTTGTATACTTAGGATATTGAAGTACAACAAAATGAAATAGCTTGCATTCGCTTAATGTTGGAAATATTTATGTTCGTATTATCTCAAGCTTAATGTTTGCCATCTTGAAGACATACAACATTCTTTGGATAATCAGTGTATAGGTATGCCGCATGCAGCCCACAAATGTCTGCAAGCTATGTAAATTTTTCGTCATTAGCAGAGATTTTTGTAGAAATTTATTATTTTTACAGAGAGTAACTCCTAAATATTTGCATATCGCACACAAACTTGCAGACTGGCTTCGTCACTGTGGATATAATCATAACGTACAGAAAACTTTTGCACATTTTTTATGATGAATTGAATTTAGATGAAATAATCTTCTGGACTGCTTTATTAGCGTAATACATAACACTCCTTTATTAGCGTAATACATTTACGTTAACACACAAGAAAAAACTACCCTACTACCGATAAGTTGGCGTTTTGTAACAATGAAAATCAATAAACATGCAAGCTTTGTTTAATGATCAACCTGTGATCATGAAGTCAAGCAAAATAATAGCAAAGCTGCTAGTGCATGGTAAATGGGTCTGGAAGCAATGATGAAATATTTGGTCTTGTTTAACAAAGCTTTCAAAATAAACTGAGCAAGTTGCTATGAATTCGACTGGAATTGAGTCCAAGCAAAACGACAGATTTTTAAATTTATTAAAGCTCAGGACATCTGGTTTTATTTTAAATATCTTTCTCTGAAGGTGTATTTGATGCCTTCTCGCTGAAGGTGAATAGGTATTGTGCAACCATTTCAATGGGAGTGAAAGAAGAATGGAGTTTTCGTCATGTAAATAGGAAAATCTTTCAGTTAAAATCATCCATCACATGTCTGCCATGATGCAACATGGAGAATTGTCTTGTAAAACAATACTACTAGAAATTTTGATAATTTTACTAAATGAATTATCGAAAACATTGAAGCTATAATAGAGAACAAAACTATTATGTATAAAACATATTCTCAAGAATGTAACAACTCCGAAAAATAATTTTATTAAGTGCTTTTCAAATGATTTTCCAAAACAATACACTTCCATCTTGGCCTATATTTGCTGCTGTTTGGAGAAAAAGTTTACAGTTTTTGATTGGAAAAATATTTGCCTTCTCTGCATGTGTGTAGAACTTGTTGCATTCACAGGATTTTATGATTTGAAAAGCAGTTGTGCATGTAGTCCAAATCATGCAAGTCATTCCTCTATACAGCACAAATTATATAAATAAACCGTGTATAAAGTCCAATTCATGTAAATCGATTGTCTTTGAACATTATTCACTTTATGCATGCACCGCAGGTTATCTTGGTCAAAGGCAAAAGGTTGAAGTTCTCGTTGGAATTTGGAGGCTTAATTGGACATCAATTTCATGATGAGACCATGATGATTCTGGATTCTTCTTTAATTAACCTTTTCAACACGTGGTTTAAATCAGTGCAAACGACTATTGATATCCATGTTTTGCTTATTTATATCGATTTGTGGAGAATTCTCTTAAATTCTATTTTCACGAAGTATTGAATAGTGTGATGAGGTGGGTGTCAAGGGTATATTGGTTCACACATTTGCTAGCAAAACAAGGGGTGCATGTCAGCTTTCATTAATGAAAATTGAAACATTAATTAAATCAAAACCGAAAAAGTTAATATACGACTTTTCATAAGTGCAGCTCTTACCTGTCATAAGTACATTTACTAAAATTAGCAATAACGGATCCAGCGTTCATCAAAATAAATTATAGCTGCTCAATTTTAAATTCAAAGTACTTTCAGAATCTAAGGTACTTAGAAATGCAAGCACATGCCAAAATGTGCTGCAGTAATTTATATTGACTTACCCTAGACCCGCCACTGATTCGTTCAAACAAGTCACAAGCTGCGCTATTATTTTATCTGTTATACTCATATTACTCATGTCAATTTGCCGCATTCTTAATCAACAATATAGCTCATACTACACTTCTCGATGGACTTCAGCATTTCTGTGTTAAACGTTTAGAGCAGAAGATGTTAACATTTGAGCGAGAAAAGAAAACTCTTAAAAACTTTTCTTTCTCTAGACACACTCTATTCATAGTATATACAGCACAGGAATATACAATACAGCTACTTCAATGAGCAACTGCCTGCTGTATATTTAATTAGTTTACTGGCAGCCGTTTGTCATAACGTCAATCCTATTGGTCATACAATGCAACTTATTGGCTGCCAATATGGTAATCACATGCGTTATAAGATATGCGTGACACGAAAAAATTAAATGGAGTGGCCCAACTGTATGTTCTCTATACTGTGCTCTAGTCTAGGACGCATCCTTTACACGTTTATTTGTAAATTTGGAAAGAACACCAAGCACACAACCTAGACAGTCTTTTTTTGAAATATCAGTTGATGTTGAAATTAATCTTTGAAGTATGCTTTCTGCTCTTTATTCTTTAAAATATACAAATATGAATTTTAAGGAAGATTGGGGGTGGGGTAGTGGGAGGCAATATGATATATGCACATTCTATTGTATCACACTATTTGAAACCACTCTATTGTATCACTCTGTTGTATGACCAATCGAAACGCCGATTTTTCCAACTTCAGCTAGCAGCCAAATGCAATACACAGCCGGCAATAAGTTGCACAACAAAGTAGACCGACAGTCGAATCTTTCTACGATGACACTATTAAGTTCCGTTGAAACCCATTGTTCCTGATTTCAATATGTATATATCAATACACCACATCTATCCCTTTATTATAGATCTCATTGATTTTTTACGTCCATCTGAAGTATTCATTAAAAAACTATAGCGCTTTTTCGATTTATTCATTTGTTAACTAAACCATAATAAAATACAGCTATTCATTTAAAAGATTTGCAATAGTGAAAGTCAGATTCGCTAACTTCTATCTATGCAAGTCTTTGCTCTTTTTTTACATTCTTTGGCTCTTCTTACTGATGGCATATCATAGATATGTATAATAAACTAGATAGCGCATTGCAATACAACGCCCAATCAAAAGTTGAAGCCAAAGTACTCGGGCGCCCAAATTATTGTCACCCGATTACTAGGTCCCACTGGAGGAGTGAAACCCAACTTTAATATACGACAGAGCTTTAATGACGACGTATTTCTGTTATTTTGGAACTTAAAGCCGTTTATAAACATAGCTGATTTCGTGGAAATAGGGTTATGATTAATATTATTACTTTTTCGTATCAAGTGGGACCTTCCAATATGGTGGCTCTGGCTTCACAGAAATAGTAGAGTGCGTTAACCAGTTTATATTCATATCAGTGTGTCATCCTGACCAAGTGATCATTTTCTTAATTAGCTGTAACTAAAACTGACCACTAATTATGGTTGCATGAATACGACAACTCACAAGCGTACAAGTACATACATTAATAACCATTGAGTAAAACAGGCAATGCAATCAAATGATGTACTGTCAACAAGAACTTATGAATAATGAATGACGCACCATTCACACAAGATTTCAGTTGGCTAACTGTTATTCATAACCATCTACTTTGAAAAAACAATGAGAGAAATATGAAAAAAGAAAATGAGATTTAAGATTTCCTTTTAAAAACGTGTGAACTTTTTTCATTTGAAATAGCATACTTAATATGTTTTATATGAATATGGACACCA